ACAAGATTAACCAAGAATTACAATAATTGGAACTCACACAATTATTTAACACAAACATATTTACAATCAACACATCAATTTTTGTGGATCTTGGCACGACAAACTACCCTTGAAGTACTTTGGAACTTACAGCAGTACGCCTACATTCCTTCTCAGGTTGACGATCCAAGGGGAAGTCGTCCGGACACAAACAGAATTATTAACAGCTAGATGACAGATGATATCAATTCAGTATATACAATATGAACATATGTACAAAATCACACACCAAACATATTGGTCTGCTCATTGATGCGCTACCCTTTGAAGAATTTTAGGACTTCCAGCAGTACGCCTACAACCCTTCTCAGGTTGACGCCCTAGGTTGGAAAATCGTCGCAGAGTTCATTTGCTGACTTGTTTCTATCAGCTGTATCCTCAACTCTGAACGGCAACACGCTCATGTCATTGTATCGTAGAATATAGATGACGAACAAACAAACGACATATCTGATCAACCAAGCGTAGGCACAGAGTAATTTACACCAAAGATAATAGCATTCAAATAGTAACTTGAAACTAGAAATGCCTTTATTCATGCAAGTCAATTTAACAATTACTCTCTCGTTTACACTTGGCTTATCCTCACTAAACTGATCAATATCTTTCGTCTTTTCAAACGCACCAATACTATCAAAGTCATTGCACAAGGTACTTGAGTTGATGGACGTCCTTCTCATTGTGAATGACAACACCAACGACGACTGATTGATACCAGTTGATGAACTTAGCGGTGGATCAGAAGCTGTTGTTGCTCGGCTTTCAGATAGTTGTCTAACTGCAAGATTACCACCACTGCTGTCTTTCACTGCTAGTTCGGGTTTAGCACTATCATCTGATGACAGGTGGGCTACACGCTGATCAATTACACTGACGTTCTCACAAGTATCCATACCTTCTGCAACTGCATTTGCATTCAATTCTACTTCACGCTGTAGTTGTACAGAACCTTTATTCAATTTAACAGTAGTAGGCATTCCCTCCATTTTATCATGATCAACCAAAGACAAATCTGCACTATCATGATCATTCTCACAAATATTCAATTTACCGTCATCTATCTGGTCGACTTCATTTTCAAACTCTTTAATAACAGCAGTGGATGATTTGGGTTCTTCCTCACAAATCCCTAAAGATTTTATACCTTCACTCTGACTAGTAATACCTTGTAAACTTGTGGAGTCAGAACTGCAATCTGAAGCAGCAACTCTATTCTGTGACACTCTATTCAACAATGGCTTACCAGTTGCAACTACAGATTTCTTCACCGCACCGTTATCGTCACACAATTCGGAGTCAGGCCTGGAGTTTACATTTAGCTTATCACTGAACTTGCTCACTGGTTCACAGTTCACCTTTGTATGCACCTCTTGCAAACGTGTAAAACACAACCGTGTTTGTCTTGCATCTTGTAACTCATCTGTTGAGGATGTACTACGAAACCTGTTACACTCACTAGATCTATATGCATTACTAGACATCATGGAGCCTTCTCGATATCCACCTCTCTGAGGCCTATTCGTCATCAATGATTGCGTTTTGCCCTCATACTGCTCTATTCTAGGGGTGAGATTCAATATACTGGCAAACTTGCTCATAGATTGATTGACACTGTCTTTCACTAATTTCAGGATTTCATCAAATTTGGCTGGATACCCTCATCCTCCATACGGGAGCTCATCTTCACCCACTTCCTTTGCAGTCGAGTAGGTAGGTGTCTTGCTATTACTTCTAGTATAAAACTCGAGTTGAGGTCACTCATGCAATTCATCGAAATCAATGCATTCTTGTAATTCAGCAAATTATCCAGAAACTCAGTGAGTGCCTTGGAGTCATCCTGTAATTGACCACCATTACCCTTAACAGCCTCGAATAATTTCCCTACAATCATCGAGGTTCTTCCGAATCTTTGATGCAGGATATGCATCGCCTCAGGATATCTTTCGTTAGGGGCACCAACTTTCAACACTTTATAGGAATTGAAGCGAATCCAGTGCAGTACCTCATTAATTACATTGGCTTCATTTTATCATTTAATGAAAACCCACTCACATATTCTCAAACTCCTTCACAATTTGTAAATAGTCAGCTGGGTTTTCGTCGAAACACCGATATTCAAACTGAGCCTATTATCTCTAGAGTGCGAAATATGAACAACAGGGTCATCATGCTGAGCATCAAACACATCGTTACATGTAACAGACAAGTCAAAATGACTTACTTTCTTGTTTGCTTCCAAGACGCTCTGTCCTCTCTTTGACCCAGCCATCATTGAACGTAACCAAAATCCCAGAAAGTTCCAGATAACGCTTGTTCAAAGAAGACTTGGTCGGCACCAGGAAAGACGGACGGAGACAGTCCAAACGGTAAGAAACTGTCACCAACTGTGAGAAACTGTCAATCACATCTCAAAAACCGTTAGTGCCCAGCTCTTGCTACGCTAGGCCTCTTGCTGTCCCTCGAAGCCTTTCAGAAACGCTTAGTACTAACGGACACGAAATCCAGAACACTGATTGGTGACTCGAGAATTCTTTATTCCAACACCAACATATAACCATCATTATTGGTATTACGGACTAAGGTCTAAGAAGAAATATTACAACAATAAATCACGATATTACTTTGACAAATTTTTCTAGGTTCTTTCTGAACAGAGACCGATGAGACGATGACTGGCAGATTGATCACCCGCGAAAATTATGGGGAAGTTGGGTTTGAGCAAACAACCATGAATTGATCGTTCAGTCTTCAACTACATTGACAGCAGTCATTGACATACCTGGGTTTACATAGTTCACCGCCATCCTTAGCAGTTTCTCACTGGACGTCTGTCTAAACAGAAGCGCTATTTAAATGAACAGCTGCGTGCCTGTTTGCACTTATTTACCTTAACTGCACTTTCATCACCGTCGACCTCACCAAGCCAAAATGTATAGTGTTGGTGTTATAGATGGGACTTAGTATACGTGGTGACAATGGAAAGTCAATAGAAAATAAGATGCCTGTTAGTGTACACTATTATCCTACGATTAAACTCCATATTAACGAGATGAGAAGTGAACGTAAGATGCAAAAAGTTTAGGTAGTTAGCAAGCCTCAGGCACCTAAGAAGTGCGCGAGCCCTAGGAATAAACTAGATGCGTTATACTCTGAATTTTGGTCAGCCACTCATGGTCTGTAACATCTTCTCTCGGCAGTAATCTCCGATATTCTTCTATATGCCAGAAATATTTCACTAGAATTTGTAAAAATTAATAGGTAATATATATTTAGGCTCTGAATTTATGTTTCTTCAAATTCCAGCCTAGTATGCGTACATTTGTGACCAAAGATACTAGCGTTTATATGTAAGAATCATGGCTATTTTTCTTAGGTGAATATCGAGCACATTGTGACACGTTAAGAAAAAGCGTTCAGCGTCCGTTATCCGGAATATGATGTCTGAGATACAAATATAGATCCGACAACCGCAGCGAGGGCTAAGTGACCGTTTGTTTTATCAAGTTAATTACCTAAAATGTCGACTGAAAACATCTATTATCACGAAAAAAGCCACAATTCCAATGTATCCAATACAAACTAGTGTAGGCCAACTTGATTTCGTTGTGCTCGCTTCTTGGTTGGAGGTAAAGGTTCCTGGTCCTCGGTAAACCTCCCGACACTCAACTGTCGTAGCCTTGGTTGACTCCAAAAGTTTTGAAAGTTCACTTTTGAGAGCACGGTGGTGGGCAAATGAAGCTGTGAGAAATCATCAAACATACAAAAAGACATTCATTGAGAAGTTCCATACAGCAGACAGAGAAACATAGTTTAAAGAGAAGATGTACTTCATACTAGGTTGCCGGTCTCACCTTTTTGAATTTCTTAATCACTGTCTCTAAATGACCACAAAGTTTCTTGTTAAACAAACCCTGCAAGGAATATGCCACCCACGTTTCAACAATAACTTTGTTTGTTTCGTGAACAAGGTTTACCGAAGTGGGTGAAACATGTATTTAGAGAGCGGATTAATAGGTATGAATTAAAAATGTAGCTTACAAACCTATAAAGTATTGTCGGCTCGAAACTGCATGTCTACACGAAAGATAAAATTGATTGAGTGTCCATATTTTCAACTTATTCACGACTAGGCGTCTGCATAAAGTATAGAATTCTTGTCATGACTCGTGGTATGGCACTTTTTCTTCATTCATTATCTTGAAGCGATATGGAAATCTGGGGAATAGACTAATCACTAATCCACTTCCAAGAAAGGTAGACCTCCAGTTTGAAAGACAATCGGAAGTGTGCCTTAGTGCATTAGGCCACCCAGGGATTTAACTAGGTGGTTAAAACCATAAGAATTAGAGAGATTATTATTCAGTGAGTTGGGTGGAAACTCAGGTAGCCTGGTGATCTGAACAGACATCCAGATTCTTTATTCTGTGAATCTAAATTTCAGTATAGGGACATTAAAATCTTTGAATGGCTCAATCTTGGACTATTTCTTAGGCTTACTGGTTTGAAAACAAGACATCACTGATCAATTATTTAAGTTCCCCCTGGAATTAAGGGTTTACGATAGTGTGACATGCAAATGAATAATCTAAGATGAATGGATAGAGCACGCATTATTATCCATTATTATCATTCATGCATTCCGATAAAGTGTTTAAACTTGAGGTGCCTCTCCTGCCTTCTGAACAGTAGGTTTCTTGACTCACAGAACATGCAGAAATAGTACCGAGGCTCCCGGTATTCACATACATATTCGGCAATTGCACTACGTGCTGCAGTTTTAGAGTTGACTAGCAAGACCTAACAGTCCGTCTTTCGTTTAGTTATACAAAAGCACACTGTTCAAAGTCATGAACATAGTGACAGAAAACTAACAAGACTTAACAGCTTAATGTGAAGGCTTCAAATCTGAATCTTGTTTTAAACAGGCGATTTCAATGTTGTTGTGCAATTGTTAATGTGGAGATTTTGATTTCTGAAGGTTACTTCTCTTCTTTGCACTTGAAGAATGAATGCGGGTTGGAATATCCCAGGATTTGTATCCTTGGGTCTGGTTTGCCAGAGGGAATACGTAAATGTTCCTCTGAAGAGCATAAAAATCAAGTGCAAGATAGTTAATATGGTAGCAGATGTGGAAGCGGTGTTTACCTACGAGAACTCGTTAAAAGACCCTCTGGAGGCGACATTCATTTTCCCACTAAATGATGCTTCTGTGTATCACTTCGAGGCACAAATAGGGAACAAAAAGATAGTGTCTGTTTGTCGGCCACGCCCAGAGGTAACGTTTAACATTCTGTATACTTACAAAGTACTTTGTTTTTTTTTAATTATTGTATGCCAATTTTACTAGCTATTATAAAGTGGGTAGATTGGTGGTGAGGTATTGGTTCTTGATCTTGGTTGAACTCTTGTTTAGTTTGTTAAGTCACTCACCTTGATTGGAGGTGTTCAAGACATTTTATGTTTAGTCATTGGCAAGAGATGTAGACAGTAGAGAAAATTTTTTTCCCAACGGTTCATTTCCGTAAGCTGTACAACCGTAATTGTATTTAGCAGAGAATTCACAAGACCAACGGGATAAAGGTAAAATGTGTCCTTCTTATGTAATGTAAAGTGTGATCTACGGGTGATTAATTGGGAATTAGAAAATGGCAGAAGTTGACCTGACGTAACAAGTGTGAGAAAATGACTCATCAGTATAACTGTTTAGAGTAGGTAGGAACTAGTGGAATGATGAGTTATTAACAAACAATAGTAAAGTGATAATAAAATAAGGATGATGAGAATAATAGTAGTAAACCTACATAATAAAAAGAATTATAGTGAGAATGTTATCCTGGTCACGTTAGGGCGGGGGAATGTATTTTTTACTTTTTATTGCGAAGGTCCGGTTTCAGATACCGAATAGCCATCAACGTTAGACTGGAGTAATTGTCTGCTGGAGAATGTGATACGTAGGTTTGCTGCTGGAAATGTATTTTCTAGACATTTGGTTTGCAGTATCCTAGCTGACACTTTCTTCAGACGCACTGGAGAAATTTCGAGGCAAAATCCTTGGGCGCATTTCAGAAAATGGGACAGTTATCTGCAGTCTGCCATGAAGTTTCCGCAGTTAGCCAGAAATCAATGCTATCTGGGATGTGGTGTGTTAAGACCGTAGTGCTGCTGTGACCGAAGTTAGTCAGTAAACCTTTGATGCATTAAGATTCGGTTGTGTAAAAGCTTGGTCTTCTGAGTCAGTTGACTCAGTTACTTTCTTGTTGATGATAAAACGAATACACTATCGCATGATTTCTCTATATTAGGAACTCAGGGTTAAATCATAGAGTAGCTGTCACAGAATAACTTTAAACAACCAATACGGATAAACTAGTGTGATTTTTAGTAAATTTCAATAGATTTTTAAAAAAAATGCATAGACAGCATAACGGATAATTGTACTTTACGCTAACCTCCTAAACCTAAAGTCATTCTAAGCTTAGCTTAACCCTAGCCAGATTGTGAGACCAGATTGGCTGCCAACTGTGATAGCAAGAGACACAGCATTTGCGGTTAGTTACACGATTTGTTCCTCCTAAGTAATTCTGCAGGGTTTCGGTTATGCCTGCTGTCGTCTTCCTTCACTGTACACAGAATTCAAATAATATAAAAAATTGTCACTACAAAGCATTGAGATTGGCTAGACTCGAAAAGTCAAGACAAAATACTACAATATCATAAAAATGACATTATAAATACAAATGAAGAGCTCATGTTTGATTATAGGCTGTAGGTTGTGTGCATTACCTGGCTTAGTAAGTAGTTTTATCAAACAGTTTTGATGTGTAGTTTGCGAAGGTACTTAAAATTGTACAGACTCAAGTTGGGAGGCATTATTTCATTTATATGGATTCATCTCATCACAGTGTTAAATACCATCTGACGAATGGCAAATACAATAAAATTAGGACACGGAACCGATCTACAAAGCACAGCCAGGTGCGCGGAACAAATAAAATGAGTATCGAACTACTGGGATACCTAGCTCGAAAATTGACCTCAGATGTATTTAAGTCCTTCTACGGTTTGAACCTAAACATCATATGCAATCATAGGTCTTTATAACAGCTTAAAATATTTTTGTCATTTCTTAAATGAACATCTTTCGTGATATACTAACATAGAATACAGTAGTTTCGACTACAATACTGTCACAGTGTGACCAGTCAATGGATAACACAATCCTTGGAATATGAATAATTTATCAGTAAAAGTGGTTCGGTGAACAAGTGTCGTTACTTAGCTTTATTACCAAGGAATTAAGTTAAATCATTCCGTCATCTGTTGTATTTGAATTAATTACAGGTGTAAAGCAACTAGGTAAAATCAGTGGGTGGCATAAATTGCACTTATCTCTTGAAAATATGTGATTAGTCAATGCAACTTTCAACTATTAACTTGAGGTGTATTTATTTTTAATGATATCAAGAGGTGGCTGTTTTATCACTAGTCATTTTCGGTAGCTCATACTGACATTCTTATAAAATGTTTCCACATTCCTTAAACTAGCGTGTGTTTTCTAATGATTACTTATTGTTAAATGGTTTTTAGACTTAATGGCTATTTTTTATCTGTATTCAAGGCGAAAGAAACGTATGATAGTGCTGTAGAAGAAGGACATACAGCAATTTTAGCTGAGCAGAACGAACACTGTTCTGACGTGTTTCAGATGAACATTGGTAACATACCACCAAATGGAACAGTCATATTGGTTCTCCGATATGTGAACATACTGGATGGGAAAAATGTAGAAACTGACGAAAAAAAATTCAGCCACGCAGAAATCACTCTAACTTTACCAAGTGTCATCAATCCACGGTATTCTCCAAAAGGTAACCTTATTACACGTATAATATTTGTCTAGAACAAAAAATACCCAGTGAATTTGAAGGCTTCACGGAACCTGTCTTAGTGAATTCTGTGCCTTACACAATAACATTTGAAGCTGAGTTATCGATGTCAAGCAAAATTCTGGATGTGAAGTCGACACATGACCGTTTCATTTTGGAGCGTTCAGGTGATGTCTCCAATGCAAATGTAAGATATTTGAAATATATTTACTTATTTATACATTTTCGTATTCAAATTGTTTGTGTTTATTGCTGTTTTATTACTAATATTACTATTTAACAATTCTTGACTTGTTAACTGGAATATCTTAGTTGGAATTTCGGTTAATTCATAAAAACGGACGGAATAGTCTTAAAACATGTCGGTTACTCCCAGAAATGTGTGGTGTTGTAGATGATTTTTTGAACTATAATTCACTTCACTCCTATCCACTTTACAAAAATAAAGAATTTCACGCTTTTCTACTATCACTTTTCAATGACATATCTCCATGTAAGTGGAATCAAAGTTATAGACTGACAAATTCCTCTAGTAGCAGACGTAATCATTACTCTATTTCATGTGTGGAAGTGTGTCAAGATATATATGTATACACTTTGATCGTTTCTAATTAGTATTTCGGAACAAATTAGCAGAATGAGATCCCGAAATGCAGTTCTTGTTAAATGACAAATTCAAGATGAACCTACTAATAGTATTAACTTTTAATGCATATGATTGTCTTGGAAACATATGATGCATAAACTTAAGTAGGGTTAAGTTTTTCTGTAGGCTTTATCAGCAACATTGAGTAAGGATGACACGGTTACAAAGCACACAGTTTTATAATTTTCCTTTGATGTTGATATAAGTTTTCGCTATCTTATATGTTTTATGAAAGTGAATTATTTTCTAGCGGTCGTGCTATGTTGCGAATTGAAAGAATTTGGAATTCAGGGACCATTGGATTGGGTCCCAGTGGCTTAATGGTCTGCAAGCTCTCCTTGCAACCAGAAGGCCCTGGCTTCGAAACCCGGTAGGTGCGTACTGTAAAGAGTCCCAAGCTAGCAGGAAACAGCTGTCCAGTACTCTCTGAAGGTTTTCCAATGGTTCTCTAACCTATGTCAGCTCATGATGAAATCATGTAACCAATCAGTCAAATCCCTACAAACCAATACTTGAATTATTTTCATTTAATGAGGTCACTATTTTAAATCTTCTGAGAAATGTGAAATACTTTGCACTTATTTGAGACTTAAGAAATTCGTAAGTTCTATTTCTCCTGTCTTTGTACATGCAATAAAAGTACATACTGAATATGTTTTAAACATTTGTTATCTTTGTTAATTAAAAAAACTAAGAGAATCTTAATTATGTTCTTAGGTGAAACTTGCTTCCGAATTCATACCTAATCATGATCTCCAAATGGTTATAAGTCTTTCTGATTCACTCAAGTCACTTGCTTCTCTGGAATACGGTGATACAAATGAATCATCGGTACTGGCCACAAATTGTTTAATGGTCCAGTTTTTACCCGAATTTCCTGAGGTCAATGCCACTAAGAAAAACAAGAGTGAAATTGTGTTTTTAATCGATCGTTCAGGTTTGTCGCCGTTTTTTTCATAACTGTTTAATACAATTATTATTTTTGCCTACCAGTATCCTATATTAGGAAAGCAGTCGTGTCAACAAACATTATTTAATTTGAACAAAGCAAGTACTACAGTTTTTGCAGAATAAAGTGGTACCATCTTCTATTTCGCTGCCTTCTCGTCAGCTGCTTACAGGCCAAAGACATTATTAAATATATGTACAAAAACAATTTTAACATGCTTGCACAGAGTTCATTTTAAACAAAAGATCAATAAATCAATATATGCATACAGTAATTATATATATATATATATATATATATATATATATATATATGACATTAAACACTATTCCGAACAATAATAATCATATACAATGGGAAGTTTTCAGCACTACATATTCAGATGAAAGAGAGATGAAAATATCCAGTTACCAGGGCAAAGAAAGACTGACATCTGTTTCTTTCTGAACGCATAAATTAGGTTTCAGGCGCGTGATGGGAATGGCTTCAGCAAACTTGAGAAGAATTGAGCTCTTTTGCTTATTGATAATTTTGAACGACTTTTCGACGTCCACCTCATGACCCGTGTCAAGGAGATGGCTGGCGATGGCAATGTTTAAAGCATTTGTTTCCTTTAGACATAAGCTTTTCGGTACATGTTCAGAAAATCGTAGATATGTCCTTCTTTCTGTCCTTCCAATGTAACTGCTCCCGCAGATACATGTAAATTTGTATATACAGTTGGAGTTAACATGAGAAGGATATCTATCGATTTTTGATTGCACCAAAGAGCGAATTGTTCGATAGACGGGGACGAGCTTACCTGCAGGATAGGCCCTGGCTAGTGAAACATTATTTACTTCCACATAATGAGTACAACGACCATTCAAAAACCAATGAATTAGTGATTTTGGTTTTGTCGAAGTGTTTTATTTTTCACACCTGGTGTGAGTGAGTACTTTTTGTAGGTACACTTGTTGATTGCACTTTCCTTTTCATAACTTAACCTGTAGAGTTATCGAAAATTCACCATCACACTTTCTCCCATATTACATCATACTTTTTGTTTGACTTCTCATTATCTTTACATATATACATGTAAATATTTTTAGGTGATGTGGGGATTTGGCGTAAGTTGCTAACATCTAGTTAATGAGCCTGGGGATCATACTCCTACTTGATTATTGCAGCATAAATAACTGGATAGTATCATTAATTCCGAAGCATTTAAGTGTGACTTACACTTGAGTACACAGGCCTATGTCGAATTACTAAGTAGCATTAATTCATTCATTTCTATAGTTTCGCCTCCTTTACAGCCATGAGACTATCGTTCGCGCTATAAGGTGGCTAAGTGATAAAGCTTATATTGTTAGGAGCTAACTGTTCACTTATCAAAGTGTAATATTCGTGCAGTATAATAAAAAAAATACACCCTCAAAATGAAAATATTTTCACTGATTAGAAAATAGATATCATAGAAGAGAAAGCAGCTTTCTTCTAGATCTTTGGAGAATAAGTTCGCTAGTGGAAACAATCAGATAATTCCCGTACGTCAAATGTGATGGGTCTTTTCCCTGTTGATCATAAGGTGATAAGGTGTTTCACAATATATATATATATACATGTATCTGAAACATATCACTACTTAGGTTGACTTGTGAAGTTGATGTGAGTGTATAAACAGTGCTTGTAGGCCCGTAATAGTTTCATAATTTTCATTATTACATTCCGATATGTAAATGTCTTATCATAAACTTTACATCATGTTTACTGAAATTTACAGGCAGTATGCAAGGTGATAATATTTCTTACGCTAAAACCTCCTTACTTCTCTTCCTGAAGAGTTTACCTGTTAAATGCCGCTTTCAAATTATTGGTTTTGGATCTCATTTTGATTCATTATTTCCAGAGTAAGCTTTTATTTAACTTAAATTCAGTGATATGATAAATGATTCACCAGCTTTCTGTGTTATTCATATACAAAAAAAGAACTAATCAAAAAAACATTTTCGATAACTACTATTGTTTCAGCTTTTGTGTGTTCTACACTCAACTTACATCCTTGACTATATATTCAACTCTAAACCTCTTTGCATTATAAATGAGAATCAGCTATAGAAGTGTCATAAATCAGAGGATAGCGTATAACTGTCTTATTTCAACTTTGGACTCTTCAACTGTACATAGAAAATCAATGTTTATATGCTTCTTCGTTTTCGACGGTTATCCAGGTGCTGTTTATTAGTAATAAAAAGAAATCTAATATCTTGAAATACCTCTATTCCTCGTAAAACTTCCATTTCACTGTACATATTGTGTTGTTTAGCATTCAATTAATAACTGCTTGGCTATAAGTTTGGTATTTAAATCTGTATTTTCCTTATAAGACTTATCAGGGTTTTAGAAGTTAACTACTTTGCTTAGGACTGACGGTAGTGCTGAATTCGGGACTGATCACTTGAATTTTTCGAACCCTATTTCTCTATGTATTACATGTTTCATATGGTCACATAAGGTCTATTGGGTGATATTTTGTAAGTTATGAACAACGATCTTGATTTAGTTACCGTCCTCATGTGTTAAAAATTTTGTGCAGTTTACTCGATAAAAATGTTGTTCTTCGTGATTAGCTATCAACACCAAGACACTAGGTAAAGGTAGAGAAGAAACTCAAATTAGTCAAATGTTTTTAAACAGACGATTTAGATGACCTACATTAAGAAATCTTCAGAGTGAAGGAAAATGATCAGTGGGTCCATTGTTTTACATTACCTTTTTTTCCTTCACGTTCCCAGTGGAACATAAGGCCTCAAACTATGTGGATTGAAGTTTCTGTAGCAGTGTTTATTTTTACAGGATGGGGTTGCTAGCCTCATGCCCAACCTTTCCGCTTTACCAGCATTATTTCTGGCTTAGCGAGGTAAAGGGATGCGTCGGTCGGGGATTGAACCCCGGAGTATGTGCATGGTCGGCGCTGTGCCACCGACGCAATTCTTGTAACTTACATTATCTAATACAGGTCATTGATGCACTGGTTATCACCGTAAGTAGTTACTTATGCCTGAGAAAAATGACGTTATTGCATTACGGTTCTGCCATGCAAAATGACTTAATCTACAGTCTTCAGATTATAAGCAAAATGTTAATAATTTGGGTGTACCTTTTATCTGACAAGTACTAATGATGTTAATAGGGTTGAACTGCTATGCGTAGCGTAAAGATATAGATTGAAGCAGTGAAAATGCACCAAAGAGTTTTATCATTTGTGAAAGGTTGGCTAATAACAAAGCTTTGTACGTCTGACTCAGATAAGGTGTCTTACTTTTAACTTAAACGAGTTTACTGTTCAGTGGTCCTCCCTGTTACACTGTTCAGATGTGGAATATAACAAAAGTGGGGTGATATTAAGGAAGTGTAAGTTCTTCTTGTTTCTTGTTACGCTAATCTCTTCTACCATGGGACAAGAGATACTGGATTTAAAACCAAAGTGTGATGTAGTGATAATTCAATCGATTTAGTTAACAATTTCTGTTGACTTAAATGGCTGGTGAATGAGTTCATAGTATAACTATCACATGCACACCGTAAGCGTTCTGTAACCTTTGCTTGAAAGAAAACTAAAGGCTGTCGGATAATCACATTAAGTTCAAGGGTTTTTCTTCCGAGTGATCTACAGGCATCTTCACAGTGCCAAGATTCATTGATCAATAGGTGTTACAAAATTCAAAATTGATACCAGCGGTGCAGATTATTCTATTCGCTTAAATTTGTCTACTCTCTTCCTCCTTAAAGTGTTCTTTTTCGTCCTTATACCACTCGGCTTCTACTCAGTTTGTGCTTTTAATGCTTTTGTGTAACGTCACACTTCTAGCTGAAGTTCTATTCAGACATATCTAACCAGCAGAACATTACACAACATTGGCTGGTTATATCTTGATAATATCTGTCTCTTGGTTAACTGATTTCAAAATTTCCTCATATGTCCCTCATACTAAAAAAAATGCAGATTTGAGAGGAATAAATGTTTTTTGTTGTCTTTCCTATCAGTTCAAATTCATTTAGGCATAAAATAATGATTGATTTCATGGATTTAATTAATTTTTATTTATTATACTGAGAAACCTGCGTAACTTTAGAATCTTTCTGTACTGATTGTTATTATAATTTTATCGTTAAACACAGACCAAGAGACTATTCTGAGGAATCGTTAAATCAAGCGCTTAAATATCAGGAAGCATTAGACGCTGATATGGGTGGTACAGAAGTTTACAATGCTTTAAAATCAGCTCTTAATTCATCAACAAGTGGTGAAGGCTGCTTCAAGCAAATTATATTTCTTACTGATGGTGATGTTAACAATGCAGACGAAGTAAGTTATAAATTTTGTTTGACCTGTTAGACATGTACTCTCTCTTTTTAACCAGAAAAAATGTCTTAGTTTTCTATAAAAATTAACAGTTATACATAATAATAATAAAAATAATGAACGGTTAGTTATTTCAAAATGTAAGACTTATGGAACCAGGTGTTTGTTGAGTGTACGTGTCGCACCTTTTGTGGCCTTAAAAAATAACTTTCAAACATTTGTTCTTTGAAAAGTCGATATTAGAATAAATTGAAAGTAACTAGAGTATAATATATTATTGTTACTTGTAATAAATTAATTCAAGCTAAACAAAAATAGACTTCTAAAATATTCAGGTCAGCAGAACTTGTATCTATTGTAGAATTATACTGAATAGAATGCATAAATTAATAATTTCAAATCCGTTCACAAGTAATATGAATCTCTAACATAGTGAAGTGCATGATCTACTCTAAATAATATCGATGGTTATCTTTACAGTTGGATTTTATATGTTACGATTGTAACATATGCAACGTATACTGGATGACTTATACCTTTTTGTACACAGTTCTAACTCCATAAGTCATTCATTCACTCCCGTCATAAGAATTGAAGGGAGGCATGTCATCAAGATGTACTATAAATGTTAGCCTACAATACCTGTGATGGTGTTCTAATAAAATTGGTGAAGGGTTAACCCATGATCGATCGACTAACGACCCAAACCCAATGATTAATGCATGTATTTCATAAACTTTTTTTAAATATTGGCATTATGATAGCGTCATTCTACAAAGTAGGATGTTCGGCTGTTCAGTTAATGGAGATAACTGCAATTCTGTGGCTGCGTCACTTTCAGGCATAAGGAGTGTTACTACCACTGTCTGCATGATGACTACATCTTTGCCACATCACTTAAGATAGTCGCTGATAGTTTGCTGATTTTTTTAGAGCATATTTTAAAGATAAATAAACTTCTGATCAATAAAAATGTTACTGATTTGTAACTATGGTCCCCTTGGATTCTAAGTTGAACAGTAATACATCTTCATTCCACCCTGTTCTCTGCAATCCTTTTTTTGGGTTGCTCCACGATTATCCATAAGCTTTCATCTCCTCACACAATCTCTTCCATGTCGGGCTTTCATCTCGTAGTTTCCTATCTGCGGTCTACTCCAGGACTTTGTCTCCTTACAGCCTGTCCAGTTCGTCTCTATTTCCTTCGGTATTTATGTTGGGTGACAGGTTATTGGCTAGCTCGTGGGTAGTAGGAGAGAATCGATGAGATATGAAAGATACCTGCAATAATTAATAGTTGATATTTGTTGAATTTGATAAAGGAATAGTGTGAGATATGCTAAAATAAATTATTGAAAAAACAGTGGCTAGAGACGATAAACTTGTAACTTGCAAGAAAAGAGAATGTATTCATAGGCGAAAAAAAGCTTTGAAAGATAGTTTAGGTGACGCATAACTACTCTCTTAGATTGAAGCACGATACAGAAACTTAAATAAAGCAGCTCAATCATTTGCAAAATTTGTAAGTAACACTTGAAGAGAGATAATAACAGGCTGTGATAGAACTAGTTCTGTGAGTAATTTAAGATTGTGATACAAGATAATCAGTTAGTTTGACTAAAGTTTTAGCTGAAGTTTGTTAGTCAGTGATTATTCGTTCACACTCTTATTAAATCACGGACTGCTTCAGCCTTTAAGGAAAGACGATGGTCATTTTGTGGTAATTATGGAGTAATGATTTTAGTTGACACAGTTTCATTTGACGGGATATTTAGAGCTCAAAAGGAACAGCTTCACCAAAAGAATACCAGGCTTCAGACTCAAATGTAGATTCATTGATAAATCTCTTACTTTCTAAGAATTTGTTGAACTCAAGCATACTTGTCAACTTCTAGCAGATGTATTTCTTGAGATGAATGCGGTGTCAGACTCTTGATCGAAAAGCGCTGTGGCATCACCTTAATGGTTTTATACCTGCACGCCCGTTGTACCTTTGGAAGCAACGATAAATTATAACCTTATTTGCTTATGCTGAAAAACTTCTAACGAGAATGTTGACTCTGTTGTTTTAGTTTGACTTCAGTATTTATAAAGGCTTTGATGTTATCATCCTGTTTCACTAGAATTAATCGTTTCTGAGAAAATTCTATAGTTGACTTTAAGTATTCGAATGGTAGTTCTACCAAATGAATTTTTTGATAAGACTCTGAATTACAATAGACGAATCCTGGTAATGCGTTTCTTCATATCTTAAAACGAATCCTTCGCTGCATATCCAGCCTCCATTGACACCATCTCATACTAAGTGAAAAGGTGTTAACTACTTTCACCAACCTACGAAGTCTCGTCAGTTTTGAATTAGTGTACTGAGGTATTGTGTCCTGTAATACTATATGGCTGATAGTTAGTAAGCAATTCATATATTTTTACGATTATTGCTTTTGTAGATTAGTTTGATAAGGAGTGATTTGAGAGTTAGGTATAGAGTCTTAGTTAAAAGAAGTAAATTACTTATTAAGTTTGTCAACCTCCCTTTAAATGAGATGGCTTTGATACATTGTCTTTGTTGAACCATTGATCTATGAAGTTGGTTGAAGTAGGTGTAGATTAGAGAAAAGCATGACAACGTAAACGGTTAGGATGTAGTGGCTAGTCTTATGATAATTTTTGTCTGAATCTGGGTCTCTTTGTTATTTAAAGGTTATTGGATTAGTACGGATGAACTCTCGCAAAGCACGAGTTTTTGCTATTGGTCTCGGAGAAGGTGCAAGTACTGGGCTAGTGAAAGGTGTTGCTCGTGCTGGTAATGGAACAGCAGCATTTGTTCGTGACAAGTATGTATTCTATGTCTTTATTTTTTGTTGTTGTTGTCAATGTCTCTGCTTTTAAACTTTAATTATACATCACTAGGCGGCCCTCTGTTGATTACCCTTAAGTAATGGTGTTTTTAGGTTATTTTCCTAACTAAGTGTACATTTATTCACAATCACTAACTGAGATTTTCACAAGTAACACCGAGTTATATAACTGAATTCTAGATTTTCCCTTCGACTTATTGGACTGAAGTGCTCGGTCTCAGGTTGACATGTCGACTTCCTGTCCGGATGCTTCGACTGTGTCTGGGCATATAATTAGAATTTAATTGGTGGGGGTGACTAGCAGTGGAATCCATAATGCTTGTTTCGTCCTATTTGGGACTCGTCACTGGATGTGCCTGCATTCCCCAGTGAGTGATTATGTTCACACCGAGGCTCGAACCCAGTGCCCATAGTTTCAAACGCCAAAGCGTTATCCACTAGATCACTTGGACCACGCGAGCTGACATGTCAACTGAGACCGAGCACTTCAGTCCAATCAATCGACGGGAAAATCTAAAATTCAATTAAATAATTAATATGACCCGTCACACAAGAGGTGGCTCTCGTGGCCCAAGTAATCTAATGGATAACGCTTTGGCGTTTGAAACTATGGGCACTGGGTTCGAGCCTCGGTGGGAAGACCATCACTCACTCGGGAGTGCAGGCACATCCAGTGACGAGTCCCAAATAGGACGAAATGAACATCCTCGGTTCCACTGCTAGTCACCATCCACCAATTAAATTCTAACTCCGAGTTATTCAGCATCTTTATTCGCAGAATCTTTAAATCCATCAGATTTTGAAATCGAAAGAAGAGCAGAATCTAGGGGGATGAAATAGTAGCTGTAGTTATACTGAAATTCATCAAAGACTATATGTCAGACTGATTAGCCTTCAAATAAATAAGCTCAATTACCTCATTTGTCATGTATTTTGTTTATTGTATAAACTGATACTGAAATGGCGAAGCTTGATTTTAGTTCTTTGCAGGGAATTTTTAGGAATAACTGAAAGTGATGAAGTTGAATAGGATAGGATATGTTACGCAACAACCGCTTGCAAATCTATCCAGTTGTCAATAACCCACACCTATTGTGTGAGGGCTAGTGGGGGCTATCTACCTGCACAAACCTCGGTTAGTGGGGTTGTAATGGGAGAAGACAAGAGGCTTGGTGACGGAACTTCCACATGTAATGTGATATACACATACAGGGAAATTATGTACACCGTATATTGGAATCGTCATTTGCAGAAATCTTCCGTGTTGTTTCTTTGTCTTGTTTTCATGTCTTCCATGATTCACCGGAATATTGGTTCATTCTCTCTTTTTGACGTCAAATCTATCTCTCCGCTATTTAATATTTTTGTGCTGATGAATGTCTCTATGTATACTACTGATAAATGTTATCAGTAGCACGTGGCACGGAGCGAGGTTCGGAACTGTGACTCACTGGTTGGAAGTCCACCACCTACTCCAATGAGCCATAGCTCCACATGAAGTTGAAAAATTTGTAATAATGGATTATATTTTGTGTGACTAAAATGATTGATAGAAACAATTTTTGCTATTGTTCATGAACTTTATTATTATGATTATTATTATTTAACTGTTTTGTTCGGCCTTGTCATTTAAAGGTTATGGTCGTATAACTGTTAAATAATGCGCCATGCATTTTAAAAATCTAAACTTGTTTGGTACTTTTTCATGTAATATTATATATATATATATATATATATATGGACACCAAGCGAATTTCAGTGTACTCATGACGATAATTAGTTGTGATAGACAGGACTGAAGCCATACAGTGAGTGATATTAAGATCAGATATAGTTTGTTACGTAAGGCAGGTAAATTAGTCAATAGAGCAGCAAATTTAATTGATGGATGGTAACTAGCAGTGGAATCCAGGATGCGCATTTCGCCCCATTTAGGACTCATCGTCTGCATTGACCTGCATTCCCCAATGAGTGATGATGTTCCCACTGGGACTCAAACCCTGTCCCCATAGTTTCAAACGCCAAAGCGTTATCCACTAGACCACTTCGGCCACGAGAACCATCTCTTGCGCCACGGGTCATGGAAACATCATCGCTGACTGGGGAGTGCAGGTATATCTAGATGATGAAATGCGCATCCTGGATTCCACTGCTAGTCACATCCACCATCGTCGAAGCATCTGCACAAGAAGCACTTAGGTCCAATCAATCGACGGGAAAATCCAAAATTCAAATAAAAAAACCCAGTAAATTGTTTATTGAATAATGAATGTATTTATAAAATAAAATATAATAAAGATAAAACAAATAATAAAATAAATCACATGACAAGAAAGTTCAAATTCCAAGTCAATCAAAAGGATCAATAAAGATGCATATTAACAACCACTCACGACAATGGCTGTCAGGTGATACAATTTATATCATTCATAGAAAATTAAAACAAGTTCACTTCATATTAAAGTTTCTCGGCTCTCTGAGCTAAGATCATGTGTAGTATCTCTAAAGATATTGTCTAGATGGACAATGAAAGGTTTGTAATCAAATCAACCAGCTGAGAAAACATAACCAAACGAAAATCATCCACTTGAGCAACAGATCTTCGCTATTATTTCGAATAATGAATGTATTAGGCACACTAAACTACTGCCTTTCTTGACGATCACTATTATGTGAAAAAGGATTGGGGTCAAAATTTACGAATTCTATGACTTTTCGTGGAGTCACATAAATGGTTGTAGACGTGCTTCCTCTGTAGTGATACACTTTTATTAGGAGTTTTTTATTTATTTGCCAGTCAGTTGTCTAACCCTTGATGAATGCAACGTTTTTTTCATTTTCTGTTTTTTTTGCTTAATATTTTATCACATAATCTTGATAAACAAACTTAATGTGCGCCTACTGCTCAACTGTCTTCTTAGTTCTCAACTACATTCAACAGTTATGCGAATTCTTACAGATGCACTACAACCAGAAGCTGATAATGTTAGCATCGAGTGGAAGTTAACTGAGAAATTACCTGATGGCAAAGAGACACCAATTGGTGAAATAGTTACTGTTCCCAAACAAATTGCTCCATTGTTTTCGGGTCATTTTGTCACATATTTTGGTTACTTTAAATCTGGTTAGTGTTATTATTATCATCAATTAATCTATTGAATTTGTGTTATTTTTGGTTAATTATTTTGTCTTATTCTAAAATTTATCAATCATGTATGCATGATTTAGTATAGATAGAGCGAATTCATTGATATTGATTGGTTATTAGTGTATATTGGCATAAAAGTGTTAGTTTCCACAAGAAATCTAAATAACAAAAAGTAGGATTAATTTCACAATTTAAAATGTCGTTTAAGCGCACAGTTTCTATCTACATTTCAGATTATGCTAGCCGATTTGATTTATATTTCTATGTAACAACATTGAAGTTGATCATGGTTTATTTTTAAGGCATTGATTCTCAAAATGCTTTTCAAAATTTCCTCTTCACTAGGTATATACATGGAAAGATATAAAGGGATGTATTGTCCATGTACACTTATCGATTTTACAGGGATAATTTGAATTCATCAGATTAATTAATATTAACAAGTGATATTGTGACACTCTACTCGAATTCATGCAGCCAGATGAGCGCTTACGGCGAGTTGTCTTCTGAAGTGGTGACGACTAGTGGTGTCCGTCTGGGATGCCCATTATCCCCATTTATATTCAACTTCATCATAGATGTACTAATGGATTTAACCCTAACTCACTTTAGAGACTCAGGGATTAATTTGATACCAGGGAATAGTCTCGCTGAATTAGAATATGCAGACGATATAGTCTTTCTAGGTGAGGACGCTGACAAAATGCAGAGTCTTCTGAACACCTTGAGCTGCAATCTACGAATGTCTGGCATCCGATTAGCTCCCGCCAAATGCAAGATGATGTTACAAGACTGGACCACAAGGAATTCTAGTTTAGAAATAGGGAGTGAAGCGTAGAGTGTGTTAACCGCTTCACTTATTTGCGAATTACCATCAGCTCCAACGGGTTGATCTCTGACGAAATCTCGACGCGGATACGGAGGGCTAGTTCCGCATATGCCAATTTACGCCGTCTCTGGCTTAGTAGACGTGATATCCAGCTGGCTATCAACCAAAGGGCGTGTGTACTGCTCATCAGTCCGCTCCATCCTCCTTTATGGCTGTGAGACCTGGCCATTGAGAGTGGAAGACATGAAAAGATTAGCTGTCTTCGATCATAGGTGCCTGCGTTCTATTTCCCATGTGAAGTGGCATAATAAGGTGAGCAATATTGAGTTTAGGCGTTGAGTTGTAGGTAAGGAGGGGAAATCAATTGACGAGGCTGTGAAATTACATAGACTGAGATGGTTAGGACATATGTTATGCATACCTGCCTAGTCATCGCCTTCCTCGACGGGCAATGTTAGCTGATATAGGGTCAGACTGGAAAAGAGGTAGCGGTGGTCAAATCAAAACATGGTACCAGTCAATGAAATCTACAATAGTTAATCTAAGCCACGTAGGAAGGTATAGACTTCCTGGTTGGGTCCTCGAGACGGTAAAAACCATTGGTTGGAAACATTTGGTGATATGGCTCAAAATCGTCCTCAGTGGCGCAGATGCATCCACTCCTTGTGACTTATGATTTCAAATGAAACTATATTGTTTTCCGTTACTACTATTCCTTTGTCTCACACCTCTGTTTACTGTCTCTAGTATGCATTTCTTCTTCTACTACTCATGTAGATGTGTGAAGCCCCATGTTCCACTAAAAATCCAAGGGAATAATAAGAATAATTTAGATGTGAATGGTTAATTGATGTTGTATTGTTGTTCGTATTAACAAGTTGTCTAAGATATTTGCGTATTTACTTTCGGTGGAGATCTACCAAATGGAAGATGGTTTTTGTTGACTGAGACTTTGGTGAAGTATATAATACTTTCTTAATATTTCATTTATTTGACAGTATACAACAGTTTCAATATGAATTTCTAAAAAGCTTCAATAGTATTCAAAAATATATCATAGTTAGGTATGATCTAAAAATGAAGTAAGACGAAGATCAGTGGTAGTGTTTTATAGTTTCTTCTTTGGTTCTTTCCAAAGTTAGTGGACCGACTGAATGACTGGTTTCAACGAAGAACTTTCCACAGACGTGCAGCAATTTGAGTTGCCACACTTCCTACTTGTAATATACAAAGCAAGGGAAGAGACTAAAGAGAGTTTCAAAAGAGAAAAGTAATGTGAAAGAATAATAGATTTTTATTGGATACTATAGATCACAAAAAGTGAATGCATCCGCCGCACTGAAAACCATTTCGAGCCATATCACCAGTTGTCGTCAGCCATTGGTTTTTACTATCCTGAGGACCCCAACCAGCAAGTCTACACCTTCCTACGTGGCTGAAACTAACTGTTGTGGATTTAATTGTCAGATGAATCCATGTGTTAGTTTGATGACTACTAGCTCTTTTTCAATCTCATCCTACGTCAGCTAACATCGCCCGTCTAGGTAGGCGATGGTTAGGCATGCCGTAGCACATGTCCTAACCATCTCAGTCGGTGTAACTTAACAACCGCATCGATTGAATTTTCTTCCTTACCCAACACTCGGCCGATGCCTAACCTCAATATTACTCATCTTATTATTCCACTTCACATGGGAGACAGAACGCAGGCAACAATGACCAAAGATAGCCGGCCTCTTCACTTTCAGTGGCCATGTATCAGCCATGAAGGAAGACAGAGCGAACTGTTGAGCAGTATACACGTCATTTGGTCGGAGTTGGATATTGTGTCTACCCCAGTTACTGGACTTTGGGTACTTGTTGGTCAGCGACCTCACTTACTAGTCCGTGGAAGTGAATTTTAGTCGTCTGGATTTATATTTGAGACTTCAACTTATTTGCATTGTTTAATGATCACTAAGCATTAAAGTTAGACACACAAAAGTATGTAATTTATAACCATTGCACGCAAATGGAAGTTAGCTTTAGATTAGCCTTTTTTTTAGTATTGGATTTCACTTTTATATTCTTCATACAGTTATCTGTAAAACGCCTTTGTTCTATTTTGGTGTTAGATAAACTTTCAACCGTTGGAGGACAAGTTAATTTAAACTATAGTTTGTTAGGTGAAAAGAAGACATTAACTCTGAATGTTTCGAATGCAGTAGTTTGCAGAAACAACTCAAATTCATCTCAAAACTTACCTATTCATCGTTTAGCAGGAAATGTACAAATTAATGAACTTGTAGATGAATATCATAGTATTCAATTGGCTGAAAAAGATGAAACACATAAGATACCTCTAGAACCAATACGTCAACAAGTTGAGGATTTATCATGTCGACTTAATATACTGACGAAGTTCACTGCAATGGTAGCTGTAGATCCCGAGAAGTTAGGTAGGTGAAATTAATTTAATTTTGGTGTTTTTATTGTACATTCGTTAGTTTTTATTGTCAGATGATATGATAAATGCATACCACTATGACTATTGTTCCTAATTTTGTTGGGTTCGAACCCTACCTGACGTCGTTCATATTTGGCAAAAGCTTAGGTGTATTTGTTTCTTTAGCAGCTATAGGATGAATACATGGGCCATCTATATTTACTACATGTACAACTTAGACCCTCAGAAAACAAGTAAGACAATCTTATGTAACCGCTATATTCCTGATTCTTATGATATTTCCGATTGTTTCTTCACGTATTGGTTTTGTAGGGATTTTGTTTGATTACATGGAGGATTTCACCATGAGCTGACATTGGATAGAGAACCACTGGAAAACGTGGGAGTACTGGACAGCTGTTTCGTCAGCCTAGTTTGAGACTCTTCATCAGTACGCACCCACCGGGATTCGAACCCAGGACCTTCTGATTACAAGGCGAAACGGCTCACAGACCATTAGGCCATTGGGATCCGATCCAATGGCTAGCCCATGAATTCTAACTTCTGCCAATTCATGACATAGCGCGATCACTTCACAATGTCTTCTCTGATGAGTTACTCCCTCACCTTCAACCTGCTGTACCCTACTAGTAACAGTTTCCCACTAGAACCCCAGGTTAACTGCCTGAATAGGGCCAATCGCTAGTGAGCATCAGATTAATTTTCAAGTATCGGTTTTGTAGGGATTTTGTTTGATTGCATGGAGGATTTCATCATGAGCTGACATCAGTGACATTGATATACTGTATACTTGTAGCAATAATTACTGGTTTATCTAATCCTTGGTTTTGACTCACTTCCGCTAGTCACGTTTGTAATTTGATCACGAAGCCAGAAAACTCGCCATCAATGTTATGTGGTTAAAGGCAGTCGAGTGAAAGTTCTGAACTTACATTCTATCCTAATTGACACTCATCAGGAAGGCTTAAATTCGAATTCAAGCGTGGTCGTCAATTCCTACGAGGTTATTGATGTATCTTGCGAACAAAACCTCGGTTTATACCGAGCTTTCTGCTGATTCCATTAATCAGTCTGTGATCAATACACTGTGAACGGTCTTTTTCATGGTAGAATCGATTTATTCCGATTTTTCTATCTTCTCTGATGACGGAAGTTAATGTTTGCTTTGAAAGTATTGATTCACACTGTAACCTCGATTTCAAAACATCTTTTCATTAAATTCTGGATGAACTGAGTAGAGATGCCAGTTAAATTTTACAAAAGACTAATCATTGAACAAACGATATTCTTTTCGATAACTTCTCCATCAAGTTCTACAGTTATATCTCCATAGAAATTAAAGAATTATTGTTGCAACCCAGCATTAATGTTTTAAACAATATTGGATTGATGCTATCGGTAGATTACAGTTTGAAAGCATCTGTGAGTGATAATAGGCATAAAAATGTAATATTAAATTGAAACCAAATAAATAAATAAAAATATAATAGAGAATTCGTGAATTTATAGATTCCACAACAACCCAGGATAGCAATAGTGGCTGGACCTGTTTTTCTTTTGCACAAAGAGCTCCAGTTGTTTATAAGCTAATTTCAGTTGCTCCTGGTCTCTGAATTTTTTGATATCTAAAGGCCTTTAGATACTCGATAGATGATCTAATATAGATATGTTGATGGTTTTAACAACACCTTTATTTGTCCACATTAGTAGATGTTACTTAGCACCGAAAAATTGGCATCCTAGAGCAATGCCAAATATGTCAGGCTCTACAGAAGCGGTTCAATTGGTAGATGCTATAAAAAATGGCTAGTCTAGGTAAAATTTGTCTTTTAGTTTCAGAATCACAACCGCTAGTCTGAAAATATGAGTTGTAGCTTACAGCCATCAAAAGTTCGACTGTGCAGTCTAAAAATATCGTATTGCTGCGAATCACTGAAGAAAATCTTCATCATGCTGCTAAGAATGTCCCTTTAAATGTCAGAGTGAAACGTTTTTGTGTCTGTATCCATTAACTGTAAGGTGTAAGCTGGCACAGACTATTATTATTATTATTGTTCCCTTGGGTTCCTAGTAGAACACAGGGCTTCAACTGCACGTCTTCACTTCCTTCTGTCTTCTGCTGTCCTTTTCCCCTGCATCTGTGTTAGTCCATATTGTTTCAACTCCTCTTCACACGATCTCATCCATGTCACCCTTGCACTGACGTCCTACTCGCCGCTTCCCTTTCGGGTTCCACTCGAGCAATGTTCTGACGCGTGATGTCCCCCAGCGCCCTCCTCAGCGAGTGTCCAATCCATCTCCATTTTCTCTTGCATATTTGTTGGTTGGCGATTGGTTCTTGTTTTGTTTGTTTGTTCCCATAGTTTCTTGTTGGTGGTTCTTTCCGGCCATCTGATTTTAATTATAGAGCGAAGACAGTTGTTGATAAAGGTCTGCAACAGGCTGTTGGAAATATTCTTTGTGACCCGCCCGCCAAGTTTCTGAAACGTATAGAAGAACTGACTGACTTGACGTTGTTTGTATTGAAAATCAAACCAAATTTTGCTGTTGATGCTGAGTGATGAGGATTTCCAGATTGGTTTCAGGTTGGTTAATGTGTTTCTCGCCTCCTGATTCTCGCTCGATTTGACATCCTCGCCTGTTCCGACTGCCTGTAGTTGAGACAATGCCCCCTAGATAGGTGAATGAAGTAACCTATTTCAAATCCCTTCCGTTGATGGTGATTGGCGTTGGATGTTCCTTTTGTTTGTTGTTGGTTGGTTATTTTTATAACCTCTGTCTTGTCTATGTTCACCTGGAGTCCTGTCTTTGCTGCTTCTTTGACCAGTTTGTCGTCTTCCGCTTGTAAGTCTTCGATTTTATGTGACATTAAACATTAATCATCTACGCACGAAATCCAGGTCTTTTAGGTTCTTCACGTCGGTCCAGGATATCCCTGTCTTCTCGTTTCTCACTGTCTGACGTATAATCCAGTCCACCACGATTAGGAATATCATTGGTTATAATAAGCACCCTTGTCTGACTCCTGTGTTTACTCTAAACGCCTCGCTGAGTTTTCCGTTGTGGATCACTTGACATGTGCCGTTGTCGTACAGCTGCCACAGACTATGCTTACCGTTAAACCTTAGATTTTGATGATTCTTTGTGTGATGTAGATGGTCCTCACTTGGTTTCGGTAAACAATATGTAGAGTGCTGTCTCCAAGACAATTTGTCAAATATGATGTTTACATTTGTGTTATTTAATAAATTCCATAGAATATTAGCTCAATCATCAATTGGTCTTCCTTGTTTAAACAATTTTCTTTTCAGATACCAATGAAAAGACCAAAAGAGTCAAAGTGTCTGTACCTCTAATGAGACGTTCTTGTGGAGGTTAGTTAAATATTTCTTTGCACACTTAATTATTATAATACTGACGATTATTGTTATTGCTATTATTATTATCTTGTTGGCAAGTTTCTGTATCTCCTTTTACATGTATTCTATACTAACTCATTCAAGAAGTTTTCTTGTTTCGAATAACTTTGAAATATTACAGAACCTGCATGATTGATGGACAGGCATAATTAACGTGGAAACCTACTATTAGTCATTCAAGTCCTCATGCTTTGTATCTTCAAGTATTGGTTTTGTAGGGATTTTGTTTGATTGTATGGAGGATTTCATCATGAGCTGACATCTGTTAGAAAATCACTGGAAAACCTTCAGGGAGTACCGGACATTTGTTTCGTCCTGTTTTGGGACTCTTCATCAGTATGCACCCACCGCCAGGGTTCGAACCCAGGATCTCTTGGTTACAAGGCGAGCTCATAGACCATTGAGCCACTGGACCTCGGTGGGTGCGTTCTGCTGAAGATTCCCGAACTAGGATGAAACAGCCGTCCAGCGCTCCCAGGTTTTCCAGTGGTTCTCTAACTGATGTCTGCTCATGATAAAATATTTTGTATCTGCCTATTAACCCCCACACACATATGAATTTCAAAAATTGTTGTCAAGATGTTTATGCTTGCAATTTTTCTCGTTGAAACTCATCAGTGTACTTTGCACCTTTGCCAACTGTGGATTATTAATCAGGATTTGCAGTAAGACTGTTTATCCCCTTTCTTTTTGCATTTCGGATCTGCCTCGATGAAAAGGATCATGGTGCTGGGCACTTTTCACTAGTGGGACAATTTATTTTTTGTTTGCTGTTGTGTTGTTAGTTTAGATTATCACTTCCATATAAAAGTCAATTCACATGAGATTATATAAAGTTCATTATCTACTTTAAACAGACACTTTACATAAAGCAATTTCAGTATATGGAGACTATGCATATTTCAACTAGTGAAACGTTTCGCTTTTTTGCAAATGGTTATTAGGAATACACAAGTTATGAGAAATGTTGAGTTTGATAATGATATATTTACAGATAAATTAATTATTAGTATCGTGAGAGCTGTCTGCTAGCCGAAATTGATAGACAGCAATTTACGACAATGTTTACGTCCCAAATCTCGGACATGAGAAAAAACAAGAACAAAGCCTAACTTTTAGGAACTCAACAACCAATCACAGCAAACTTTGCGTGGGCGAATATGATTCGCAGGCATATGGTCTGACCTTCAAAGAAATGGCCACAAGGAGATAACAGAATAACCTTCAGCAGAAAAACAACCAATCAGAAGAGGTGACTTCTCTGCTAACAAAAACGAATAATAATGTACATAAAAATCCATAAATATCTGTTGATTTTCTCAATAAACGATCTGTTGCCTGACTCTTGTCTTCTGTCGTTGCAGTAGTTTATAAAATAAGAGTACCAACTGTATATTAAAGTAGCAATTGCTTACCTTCTTGATTTCATTCAGGTGCTCCTTATGCGACAATGGCAATGGGGATGCCTATGGCGAATTGTGGAATAGACATGATAGATTTCGGTAAGAATCTTTAATTGGTTTTCTGTTGGTATATTCTGTAGTCGGCTATATTCGACCCCTTGTTTTAAGGCCACTCTTCAAATGAATTTAAATCTTCAGGTTTTGGGGCAAAGTTAAACTTTAGACACCACTAACAACCAATCAGCAAACGACCTTGAACGGACCAGTCACATTAAAGAGGCATATATGATGAATGGAAATGTATATTTGTAGAAAAAAACACACAATAGAGAGTAAAAAAGTTGCATGGGATATCTTTCTCGAACATGTGAGAGAAACATCTCCCAGTTTAGCATGGGACTGCCAATGGAGAAGTTACACCATATCCTGTACATATATTCATCCTAATGACCATAAATGAGATCCATTTATAGCCCTTATCCTATTTTTCAACCTGCCCCAAAATCCTTCAATAGAATTTGTATGTGTCCTCGTAACGGGATCCACAAAATCACTTGAATGGTTGACTCTATGATGAATATATCCCAGAGATGACAGTGAATTGTAGCCTTTCCACTCGTCGGTGTGTATAATTGACCCCCGCTTAACAAGTCTGGTAATAATAGGTATAAGAGTAGTTGCTTTTCTATCTGCTATCCTTAGGGTGAGAAGCGACCTAGTGAAAAAAGTTCCTACGAAATATTAAAATTATCAGCTTACTCTCTCTAGCGTTAGTAGGCTTCAAACATATAGCACAACGATGCACAAACCCATCAGTTGGTTTGGTATAGCTTTTTAAAGTCATGATACCACCACACAAACAAATTCGCTATTTCCGGAGCAACTCAAATCCAGGAAATACTGGAAAACGCTAACCTCCTCGAATTGCAACAGTAGCTTTGTAAGGTCACGCATTAGAAATGAATCAAGCGCTGTACAACATTGAACTGCGTTCGTGAATCTCATTGGATAATTCGACATTGTTCGTCAATCTCATTGGATAATTCGCTGATTGGTAGTTAGTGGTGTCGAAAGTTTAACTTCGCCGGTTTTGGTTTGCAGGGATTTGATTGATTTCAAGTTGTGTATTTTTTTAACGAAATGACTTCATTGACAGAACTATTGAAAACCAGCCAATCAATGTCATCCACAAGTATATTTTCCTCATACCCACCTTGGTTGTGACCGGCAGGGTTGCATTAAATATATATCGTGAATTGACAAGAAGTTAGAATTGATGTTCCATTGGATTCCGTCTCAGTGACTGAATGGTCAGTGAGCTTGCCTTGTAACTCAAAGGTTCTGGGTTCAATCCTCGGTGGAGCCTTGGGTGAGTACTGATGAAGAATCCTAAATTAGGACTAAAGAACTGTCCAACACTCTTTGGTTTTCAATAGTTCACTAACTGGAGCCAGTTCGTGAACAAACTTGAAATATACTGGCTTATACACTAAACAATGGTTGTCAATAATCACATTTCATACTTTATTGTTTGAAAGGTAATAAAGAAAACACTATAAGATGAACGCATCCGAAATATAAGTATTACAATTTTTTCGGTTAAAGTTACCATCAATTTTTATCAAACTATGAAAAAAAGAGGTGAGGTGAGAGAAGATGGAAAAAAGTAAAAATCTCATGAACAGTGTTATCTTGTACGTCAAAATGGCAACTCAAGAAGGTTAAAGTTCATCAAATTGAAAACTTGCTTAGTGAGTTGAGCTCACTAGTGTGTATAATGAAAGTGATATGGTTACCAAGGGAGTCAGAGATTGATTACACTGTCTTTCTGTGTGCATAAGTTTGGTCTGAAACGTTTAATTGCAATGGCTTCAGCAAATCGTAGTAGATTTGCTGTCCTTTGTATGTTTAATTGATATATATATATATATATATATATATATATATATATATATATATGATGGTCTCTTTTTCTGTTGCTCTCTTAGTCTGTGACCATTTCACTTTGACGAACCTGTCTCCTTTAACAATGTATATTCCCTTTATAGTATATATAATATGTGTGTTTGTTTGACAGTCTGTTATATTTCGCTATGTATATATGGATCGATACTCCATTATAATTAGCCAATCATGTTAAGACTGTCTATTGATTTGTTCACTCACTTGTTCGGACATTCATATATATTTTGCTCTCACATACTTGTGTGACTTTGATTCTCCTTGTGTTTGGAAAATAGAAGTATCATCGCAAACCTAGTGGTCTTCTGATTTCCGTCTTTTTTGCGTCAGGACTATTAAATTCTCGACCAGTACATAGCAATAATTTGGCGACGAGTACATAACATTAATATTTTGAAGGATTTGGAAATCTCGACAAAATGACTCGTATTCAATAGGTGTCTGGTAATTGCACTTTGTAATTATCTGTTTCCTTTTAAGCATAAGCTTCTTGGAATATGCTCTGATAACTGGATAGAAGCCCTTCTTTCTGTCCTTCCAATCTATTTGCTGCTGGAGGTGCACGTAAATTTATAAATGCGGTTGGAGGTAACATCATCAGGGTACTTGTCCAGTTTCGATTGTCTTATAGAGCATGTAGTGCTGCATAGTGTCAACAGCTTAGCTGCAGGGAAACATCTCTGTATTGCCCCTTTCATCCTCTTGTAAATCTTTTGTGATACTGCTTCTTCTCTGTGTGGGAGGCTAATGAACACTTTCGTTTTATCAACTATTGGACACTTCGCTTTCTACACAGTCATACATTCAGTTGTGTTGTGTTTGTTAAAAAGAAGTCTCTTCCAGAAGTTAGCTTATGTTTCTTCTTCTTTCTGTAGAGACATATTTTACAAAGTCAAAGTTGTCCTTAACAATGGGTGTCTATTCATTGTCCACAACTAGGTTTTATAGTGACAGATAACGCGAATAACAATTGTGGAGATTCGAAATAGTTTATTGTTATAATGCAATGGCTTCAACACTGTGGCGACGTTGTTTCTTCAAATATAGAGAGAGATTCACAGGTCTTCATGATATGTTCATATTAAATGAAGTATAGATGTAACTATTTTAGTCAAACTGGAAGTATACATAGGATAGAAAAACACGTAGATTAAACATTATTTGCACTTGGGTCGAATGATATTACTCGAGAAGCTCTTTGGAATGAAAAGATCCCTTGTCGCGCTTATCTCAGTTATGAAATAGCGCTTCTTTGAAACAATCTATACAGACTGATGGATGGACTACGCTCACTTATTGTTCTTGGGTTGAATGTGTTTGTGATATAATGGATGCAGTATCAGTCAATAATTCATGAAAGATCATTACTAACAATAAATGACTGATAACGGCGAAGTTCAACAATAGCGTCCCAGGAGTGTGAACGCTCCAATGACCTTGAAGGCATGCTAGTCGTTGGTCGACGGCATCTGTCACTATCACAGCTGAAATATCAACGCTATTCACCAACTTAGGAGCAAATTTCACCCAGATCATATTTTTAAGTATTGTTTGAACAATGTGCTAATAGCTCGTTAGGGTTAGGATTAGGGTTAAGGTAAGTATTGGTGTTAGGATTAGGACCAGGGTTATAATTAGCATCAGGGTTAGAATTACGGTTTGAATAAAGGTTATGATTAGGGTTAGGATTAAGGTTAGGTTTAGTGTTAGGGTCAGGGTTAAGCTTGTGGTTATGATTAGGGATAGATTTATAGTTGATGTCATTTATTTTAATTTTTTATTGTCCACGTTTTCCTGGTAAGTAGTCGTCTATCCTCTTGCTGGAAACCGTAATAATTCAACCGCGGGCTTTTTTGGAAGACTGCAAGCAGGATGAGAGAGATGAACGATTCACAAAAACAGTTTATCTGTAGTCAGCTCGGTGAATACATGTACAGAAACTAGTCTAACTTAGCAACTGATACTCCTCGTTACAACTAGGACGTACTTTTAAGCCATATCAGAGAGAGATAACCTGTTTAATGCGTTTTGAAACATTTTCTTGTCAATATACATCATGTTTTGAGCAAACATTCCTCATTTTTATGATTGGTCAGCTGAAAGTCACTCGTGCGTTCACACTACTTAGACGCTATTGCTGAACTTTGCCTTGATAACTTATTGTGATCCATTTTCCTCACCTTCATTTAATAGTGTAAAACACTTGCTATATTGAATTAAATGAAGTTTACAAACAAAAAGGTAAAAGTATGCATAGAAGGTAACAAATACATCAAACTAGGTCCGTGTTATAGGCCTTAACACTCAAACATTTTTTGGTTCCGTGCTAATCTAATGACTAGTTACAATTAACACAGAAAGGACTTTGCTTATTCGCTTAATCACACCAAATGAAATCTCCCATCCAACTTCACTGGTACTATAGCTGCTATAAGATCGGAGACTACCGGTATCGTTTGGAGATTCATATTAGAAGTAGCTATTATATGAACACACAGTTATGCACAGTCAACTTATTGCATATAGGTGTGGATATAGGTTTCCATGTGTATATTGATCGTTATTCCATTATATAACTCACAATATGTTTTGTCTGTCCATTAACTAAATAAACAATGTATGACCTTTTGTCACATGACATTACAACGAATCAGAATCCGATGATGGTAAGAAAAACTACTGTCTATTTTATTGGTTCATGCATGTTAGTCATTTTCATATATATACTCTTGTATTGTACAGTTAAAGCACTCTCTTTCACATTCTTTCGTACTTTGGTACTCTTTTCACTCACACCATTGTGTGACAATGAATTTTCCGTGTTGGAAAATGCACGTATCCTCGTGAATGTGATGGTCTTCTGACTTTCCTCTTTGCGTCAGGACTATTAAATTCTCGACCAGTACATAGCAATAATTTGGCGACGAGTACATAACATTAATATTTTGAAGGATTTGGAAATCTCGACAAAATGACTCGTATTCAATAGGTGTCTGGTAATTGCACTTTGTAATTATCTGTTTCCTTTTAAGCATAAGCTTCTTGGAATATGCTCTGATAACTGGATAGAAGCCCTTCTTTCTGTCCTTCCAATCTATTTGCTGCTGGAGGTGCACGTAAATTTATAAATGCGGTTGGAGGTAACATCATCAGGGTACTTGTCCAGTTTCGATTGTCTTATAGAGCATGTAGTGCTGCATAGTGTCAACAGCTTAGCTGCAGGGAAACATCTCTGTATTGCCCCTTTCATCCTCTTGTAAATCTTTTGTGATACTGCTTCTTCTCTGTGTGGGAGGCTAATGAACACTTTCGTTTTATCAACTATTGGACACTTCGCTTTCTACACAGTCATACATTCAGTTGTGTTGTGTTTGTTAAAAAGAAGTCTCTTCCAGAAGTTAGCTTATGTTTCTTCTTCTTTCTGTAGAGACATATTTTACAAAGTCAAAGTTGTCCTTAACAATGGGTGTCTATTCATTGTCCACAACTAGGTTTTATAGTGACAGATAACGCGAATAACAATTGTGGAGATTCGAAATAGTTTATTGTTATAATGCAATGGCTTCAACACTGTGGCGACGTTGTTTCTTCAAATATAGAGAGAGATTCACAGGTCTTCATGATATGTTCATATTAAATGAAGTATAGATGTAACTATTTTAGTCAAACTGGAAGTATACATAGGATAGAAAAACACGTAGATTAAACATTATTTGCACTTGGGTCGAATGATATTACTCGAGAAGCTCTTTGGAATGAAAAGATCCCTTGTCGCGCTTATCTCAGTTATGAAATAGCGCTTCTTTGAAACACAATCTATACAGACTGATGGATGGACTACGCTCACTTATTGTTCTTGGGTTGAATGTGTTTGTGATATAATGGATGCAGTATCAGTCAATAATTCATGAAAGATCATTACTAACAATAAATGATTGATAACGGCGAAGTTCAACAATAGCGTCCCAGGAGTGTGAACGCTCCAATGACCTTGAAGGCATGCTAGTCGTTGGTCGACGGCATCTGTCACTATCACAGCTGAAATATCAACGCTATTCACCAACTTAGGAGCAAATTTCACCCAGATCATATTTTTAAGTATTGTTTGAACAATGTGTTAATAGCTCGTTAGGATTAGGGTTAAGGTAAGTATTGGTGTTAGGGTTAGGATCAGGGTTAGAATTACGGTTAGGGTTAAGCTTATGGTTATGATTAGGGATAGATTTATAGTTGATGTCATTTATTTTAATTTTTTTTATTGTCCACGTTTTCCTGGTAAGTAGTCGTCTATCCTCTTGCTGGAAACCATAATAATTCAACCGCGGGCTTTTTTGGAAGACTGCAAGCAGGATGAGAGAGATGAACGATTCACAAAAACAGTTTATCTGTAGTCAGCTCGGTGAATACATGTACAGAAACTAGTCTAACTTAGCAACTGATACTCCTCGTTACAACTAGGACGTATTTTTAAGCCATGTCAGAGAGAGATAACCTGTTTAATGCGTTTTGAAACATTTTCTTGTCAATATACATCATGTTTTGAGCAAACATTCCTCATTTTTATGATTGGTCAGCTGAAAGTCACTCGTGCGTTCACACTACTTAGACGCTATTGTTGAACTTTGCCTTGATAACTTATTGTGATCCATTTTCCTCACCTTCATTTAATAGTGTAAAACACTTGCTATATTGAATTAAATGAAGTTTACAAACAAAAGGTAAAAGTATGCATAGAAGGTAACAAATACATCAAACTAGGTCCGTGTTATAGGCCTTAACACTCAAACATTTTTTGGTTCCGTGCTAATCTAATGACTAGTTACAATTAACACAGAAAGGACTTTGCTTATTCGCTTAATCACACCAAATGAAATCTCCCATCCAACTTCACTGGTACTATAGCTGCTATAAGATCGGAGACTTCCGGTATCGTTTGGAGATTCATATTAGAAGTAGCTATTATATGAACACACAGTTATGCACAGTCAACTTATTGCATATAGGTGTGGATATAGGTTTCCATGTGTATATTGATCGTTATTCCATTATATAACTCACAATATGTTTTGTCTGTCCATTAACTAAATAAACAATGTATGACCTTTTGTCACATGACATTACAACGAATCAGAATCCGATGATGGTAAGAAAAACTACTGTCTATTTTATTGGTTCATGTATGTTAGTCATTTTCATATATATACTCTTGTATTGTACAGTTAAAGCACTCTCTTTCACATTCTTTCGTACTTTGGTACCCTTTTCACTCACACCATTGTGTGACAATGAATTTTCCGTGTTGGAAAATGCACGTATCCTCGTGAATGTGATGGTCTTCTGATTTTCCTCTTTGCGTCAGGACAAATTAACTACTCAGCAATACCAGTCTGGTCGTTATCGTCCGTTATATCTCATTAGCACATATTTCGTGTGCATTTCGGATTGTGACGGCGATTGTTACTTCCCGGCTGCCCACACCGTGAAAGATGGTTGCGTGACCGCAGAGTCCAGGGGACAACTGCTTGAGGCCGGTCACACGCGGCCTGTTTTTGTTTGTTCTTTATTGTTTGGTGTGTCTCAGTAGCATATTTATCACTTCTGCCCTGTGACACGGCAGCAGGAAGCGCGGTCGTTGTTAATCCGGGCCCCGACCGATCCGGTATGATATTTCGTGAGTTTGTTTGTATCATAGTATTGGATTGGGTAGCTGCTTTTTGTCTAACCGCTATCCAAACAACCTTTCTGGCACGGTAGGACCTCAAGAGACATAAGTCTCAGCCAGTATAGCTTGTTGGGACATTGCGGTGTTCAAGCCCGACCACCACGTCAAGGTAGCAGCTTTCGGTCGGGAGCACATATTTACACTCGGTCATACCATAATATTGGCAATGACCCCATAACATACATATTGGCGACGAGTTCATAACAACTTTGTTGTATTCTCCTATAAAATTAATTTGACGGGTTAATTTCTGCCTCCTTTTAGCATTTACATAATCTCATTAGCTGATGCATAATTGGTTATCTTTTGTCTGTTTGACGGTTTCACTTCAGCCACTATACATTCTTCGTTTCATAAAATAATCTAAAAATTGTTGTTAAATCAAATAATCAATTTCCTGCGAGGAACAGAATGTATTGTCTGAATTGATGAAACTGTATAGAAAGTATAGTCCTGCTTATCAGCTGCAAGTATTGAGTTTAAAAGAAGGAGTTTCTGGAAATATACGTCTTAAATAAAACTGATAACACTGTTGACAATTACTCAGCGTTTCTACCTACTGAGAAATTAATGCAACCCTCTAGTGGAACCCGAATAAGAAACAACCAGTTGGGTGTCCGAGAGTGACATAGGAGAGATCGTGTAAGGAGAGGAGATGAATGCTTATGGGGCAATCATGAGAGCAAGCTTAAGAGGACTGCAGAGAATGCGACAGAGTGGAGTTGTGCTATTGAAGGCCTGTGTTTCACTCAGAACTCATTGTAACAATAACACACCTACAATATAAGGAATTATTGCTCATAAAATGTGCAGCTAGCTGTCTTTGTTGGGTCGCATGTTGCACCGCATCATGAAACATTCAAAGAAATTTATTGGTTCACTTACTGAAACATACGAATCAGGTTAAAGTAAGAGAAACAATGAGGTGTAAGCACAGTTTGTGATGACATTTATGGTCAGTGTTTTCAACTGATCACAATCGAGGTGATTACACTAAGTATTTAAAGTCATTTTCTCGATCATTGATTTGAGTGTATTTAAACAAAATTATTTTACATTTCAGAAAGATTAGCTGTATTACGCCTTCTCAGGATTTAATCGTGGTTTAGGGAATTTTGGTTAAAAAATTCCTGAAAAGCTGACAATTGACATTATTACGGTGGATTTCTCTTCCTATATTTACCACTTCAAAGAACGTCCCATGACTATATAACTGTAGTATCATGATATCTAGACAACTATGCACTTTACTACCTCTAATTAGACGGTCGCTGACACATAATCAACAATCGAAGTTATAGTTGGACTATAAATATAGTTTGTGGACAGTGACTTTGGTTAGCACCTTCCTAATCAGTAGGCAAATGACTAGTTGAACAACCGAGGTCATTTAGTTCACCTATGATTTGGATCGCCATTTTGTTTATTTAACCGAGCCTTGTGTGACAGTGATTTTTATGCTTTTGAGTTTCATTTATGCTATTCTATAGAGTGAGACAAATGTATTTATAGTAACTGTTAGAACGCATGGTTTACAGTCGACTGAATTTTTTTTTTTAATTTTCTGACTTCTTTTGTCGCTGCCATATAGCTTCGCCTACAGCTGCATGCTGTTTACGAAATGATATGAGTAAGTTCTGTTTGTTATCTTGTAACGAAGTGATGTAAAACACTTAACTTTCAACAGATTGTTGGATTGCCATTTATTTATTGACCAGTAATAAGTTGAATTGATTGTTTTTCATTCATCTTACCTGATGAAATAATATTCGTGCATTGGTTAATATTTCCCAACATCGAAATAGTGAGTAGCTGACTTTATTGTCAGATGAGGTCACCAATCACCTCATTGTCGCATTATGTATACATTTTGATTGCTAGATATTACATGTTAGATATACGGGATATGGCTGTAGGTGATAAGGTCATTTAGGGTTGCTTAATCAAATGATTCATTCAAGTCATCTAAGTTTTATCATTTTCAGAAAAGACTGATTCCTTAAGCGTTACTCCTTAGTGATCCACAATCATCCCTTTATCTTCACCAATCAACACATCTGCTTTATCAGTATTGTACTTGAACGGCATAGCGCAGGTTTTATGTGTATTTATTAGCATGAAAAACGACCAACAACTGATGAAAAGTACAGGTAATCATGCCAGCCAGTGTTCTGCTCCATTTATTTATTTTTTTAAAAATTTTATTTTGATTGCAGCTTGATTTTCAGCATGTGATATCGGTAGCCCAAATTTTGCAGGCCGACCATAGATATCAGGTGTGCATTGGCAGGGGATCGAACCCCGGACCATTTGCATGGTCGGAGAGAGTCCTAACCACTGTGCCACCGACGCACGTGATGTCTTATAATGGTCTCTTCGCGAATTCAACCATGAATTCTGTTTCCTTCAGACAGCCAAGTTAGATCGTTTTCTCGGTACTAGTTGAGAAGCAAATCTACTGTAATGACACCAATTCAACTGCTTTACTAAACCATGCAACCGGTAGTGAGAGGCGTTGATGGCGCAGAGGTAGAATCCTCGCCAACCATGCGGGTGGTTCGGGGTTCGATCCCCGGCCTACTACCCCTTTAGATCGCTAGGAGGCCAGTAATAAGACTCGTAGACAGGGAAGGTTAGGCATGAGGCTAATAACCCCATCCCGTAAAAATAAACACCACTGCTACCGAAATTTCAAGCCTCTAGCGTGAAGCTCTATGTCCCAATGGGACGTAAAAAACGAATAAAAAAATAAAATAAAACAGTAGCTCTCAGAACTAAAAAGCGTAGTTTGTGAGATATATCACTCTTAAAACATGTCTTTTATTCTTTTTAGGGTGTTTACTGCTGTTCTGTTATAGCTGCAATGGTTCCTAGTATGTTCTAAAGAAGTGAGGTGTACACAGATTTACGCATTCCGAAAGCTTCATCAGCCTTAATGATTTGGTCGCTGACTAAAACCCGCTGTGTACTCAGGAGACTCATTTGACATATATCTGACTCAGGCATAATAATAAACTACCCATCAAAAGGCGTATTGACTGCTTAGCATATAGCTCTTTCAAACTTAAAGGCTGTGATACAGATGTTGAAGGTGGGAGATTTGAAAAATTAGCGTCTTCTGAAGCCTATTGACATCAATCTTCTTCCTGTCGTTATTGGGCTGAACCAGTATACCATCTGATTATTCTTAAACACCACTGCTATTTCTGTTTCACTCACACTTTAAGACCAGTTGAAATTATCATCCCTTCGTAAGCGTGTTAGAGACAGATGAAAACCTCCGGACCTACTTTTCGTGAGATTTGGCATTCATGAGTGAAGCTCATCTGCGACCATGAGGAAATTTATGTTCCTTCATGAGTTTTGAATCTGGTTTACAGATTTCCATCCACACTTTATTCTAGACAGGTATATATATATATATATATATATATATATATATATAATATCTCTGAAATAGCAATTAGAATATTAAGACTGTTTGGAATAGTTATAGGACACAAGCCAGAACAATCACTTCATTCGATATTGTGCAATTCAAAACATCTAACAGAAAATGAAGATGAACTATGATAAACATTACATCGGTAAGAGTGGGCGTCCCCTTCGTTATCCGAATCAAAGAACACAAATTAGCGGTAAAAAGACATGATATATATTCTTTCATATCAATGCATATAGATAATTATGGACACCAATTTGGTTGGGATAATGTAGAAATTTTAAATAGAGAAAACACCAGGGAATTCTTAGAAGCTTGGTACTCAACAACTGTCTTCGCTCTATGCTGAAGATCAAATGGCCGGAAAGAATCACCAACAGGAAACTATGGGAAGAAACAAAACAATATCCAATCACTAACCAACATATATGCAGGAGGAAATGGAGATGGATTGGACGCTCGCTGAGGAGGTCGCTGGGTGACATCGCGCGTCAGGCCACCGCTCGATTGGAACCCGAAAGGGAAGCGACGAGTGGGACGTCAGTGCAAGGGTGACATGGAGGAGATCGTGTGAAAAGGAGTTGAAACAGTATGGACCATCATGTATGCAGGTGACAAGTACAGCAGAAGACAGAAGTGGCAAGTGGAGACGTGCAGTTGAAGCCCTATGTTCCACTAGGAACCCAAGGGAACAACAACAACTCAATTGAATCAGCAATTGGCAAGCTACCTGGAATGGTGGCCACATTGCAAAACCTGACCGATAGAATTCAGTCTTCTCCAAATAAAGGACTAGACACATCACACTAGTTACTAGTGTCCAATCAAATTAACAAACACATAAGTATAAACCAAAGTTATCAGCTAATAAAAAGTAAATCATCACATGACAAGAAAGTTCGAGTTCCAAGTCAATAAAAATATGATCAATATGGACGTAAATTGACAACCAGTCATGCCAATAGTTGACAAGAGATACAATTATATCATTCATGGAGAATTTAAATAAGTTTATTTCATACTAAAACCTCCACTGAAGATGTTGGCTGGATGGTGGACGACGAAAGCTTCTCAATTAAATCAACCAGCTCCTCAGAGAACACAACTAATTTTATTATTGTTTATCATTTATTGACCGATTTGTATACTGCAAATTAGTTAGTTTATAATGAGTTAAACGATATCATTCACTGTTTTGATTTAATTGTTTTAGCTGAAGCAGTATGTTATAGTGGTTCATTGGGCTTTGAAATGAACGAATCTGTTGCAGGTATGTTATTATTCAGTAATATTTTAAAAGAATAATTATACGCTACTATTAAATTGAATTTCAAATTGTGGAAAATACTTATCAGGATGTTAGTGAGAAAAGAACCAGAAACTCATCCTCAAAAACTGTGCAGTCGCATTTTTATACATAAGTTCACAAAATTACAACTATTATCTAGTTCAACATAATAGCGAAGAAAAGTAATGACACTCAACTATTGGTTTTCGTAGGGATTTTGTTTGGTTGGTTGGAGGATTTCATCATGAGCTGAAATCAGTTAGAGAACCATTAGAAAATCTGGAAGTACTGGACAGCTGTTTCGTCCTAATTTTGGGATGCTCACTAGCGACTGGCCGTATTCAGGCAGTTAACCTGGAGTTCTAGTGGGAAGCTGTTACCAGTAGGGTACAGCAGGTTGAAGATGAAGCAGTAACTCATCGAAGAAGACATTGTGAAATGTTCGCGCTATGCCTTGAATTGGCAGAAGGTAGAATTCATGGGCTAGCCATTGGATCGGATCCCAGTGGCTTAATGGTCTATGAGCCGGTTCGCCTTGTAATCAGAAGTTCCTGTGTTCGAACCCTGGCGGTGGATGCTGAAGAGTCCCAAACCAGGACGAAACAGCTCCCAGGTTTTCCAATGCTTCTCTAATCGATGTCAGCTCGTGATGAAATCCTTCATCCAATCAAAGGTTATAATACTTTTAAACTTGATTTGAAAGTTTAAAAGTGTAAATATGGATTACAAGGGGTATAGAAACAATATTACACAGGATTGATTAGAAAATAGTTACGTTATATGTAAAGTAGTTTTTAAACGAAGACAGGTGCAAAAAGGATGGGCATAGAAAAAACGGAAATAATAGTGTTTATAACCGAGAGGGAAATGATAGGTCATATTAATATATGTGTAAAACTTGGGCACTGTGATAATAAGTAATTCCATATTAGTTTGTTTATTAGATGTATCACACAGTGAAACAGTATTATTTACTGGATGACAAAGTTTCGAACAAAATTTATTGTTCATAATCGTATCAGTTATAATCACACAACCTTGCAACTTGAGTTTTATAGTTTTCTTTGTTCTCTCCTATTTGTCGTAGGGGTAGTAGAATTTTCCAGATATCTGGGACAGGTGTTGAATCATTTCTATTACATGTATTTCCAGTTGATTCGCTAAACAAAGCTTCAGTTACCAATCTCTCCCTCCACCCTGTGACATTAGATTTCAAAACTGTCATGCTATCCCATCCTACTGTATGATAGGAATTGAAAAACGACAGCTAAGGAGCCAGACAAAACTATTTTTTTCCTTCACGTTCCCAGTGGAACATAGGGCTTCAAGCTAGTGGCTTGAAGTTGCTGTAGCAGTGTTTATTTTCACAGGATGGGGTTGCTAGCCTCATGCCCAACCTTTCCTCTTTACCAGCATTATTTCTGGCTTAGTGAGGTAAATGAGTGAGTCGGTGGCCGGGGATCGAACCCCGGATCATGTGCATGTTCTTATAATGCAGACAAAACTAGATCGACGATAAATGCGGATGTAAAACTTCGTCCATTTTCAACACACTTCCAGTTTATCGGTGTGTATGATAAGGGATTCTGAAGTGCAAATAAATGGGAAACATATTTTTTTTGTAGATTTTTGTTCACTTTGTAAATGACTCTAAATGATTAATCAGCTGTGATATGTTGTGACGGATGCTGACGAAATGCCAAGGCCTGTAAAGTGACAATTATGTAAATACTTTCTTAGAGATACTATCGAATTTATTGGTTGTATAAAAGATATGAATGTGAGTGACAAACGTATGTTATCACTGGATATAGAGTCTCTATTTATCAACGTGTTACTCACAGTAACAATCTACTTCCTGTGCAGATATATGGATACCGATTGTAACTATTAAGAATGCGATGGTGCAGATTTCAAGGATGAAATCTTCATTGAGCTTCTTATTCATTTCTCTCTAAATAAAGTTTAACAAACAAGAATGTATTTGTAAAGTAAATTAACTCAATTAATTTGATTAATTGTGTCCTATCATATGCTTCACTTAATAATACACTTCATATTTTCAATTATGCAAGCCATGCTCACATATTAACATTTGCATCAATTACCACTGATCTCATGATACTTGGAGTTATATATATGCCTTAAATCTATAGGTATCACAGTTTGACTCCTTGAATAATTCCTATTGTTTTATAAAATTGTGTAAATCAACTTTATACATCAACACATTCATTAAAAGTATTCATCAATTGGCTGAAGAGACTCATAAGCATAACTTCAAAACATATTAGGTAATTACAGAAGAATAAAGCATGGGTTTTCATCTGATCTCGTGCATAGTATTGATTGAAGACATTCACAGTGAAGAGCAAATACACCTATCGAAAGCATATAACATCATAACAAATATATTTTTATATTTTGAGGTCATGCACTTTATTCAATGTAGGCAGCATGTGAGTTGTAGTCACAGTTGAAATGGTGTAGTACCTTGATGTTTTTTTTGTTTGTAGTACTCATGTGCATTGAGACCGCTTTACAGTCATCCAATGCTTTTGAGGTTCCTTATCTATTCACTATCTTAACTACAAGTTCACTTAGATTGTGTTACGACAGTGGGTGGAAACAAAGTATTCCGTAGTAAACAGTTTAATATGTTGTTTTTTTAAACGAGGTAACGCTCTCATCGTTATAAAAGCTTGTGTATTTCTCAGTGAATTAAAAAAACACAAAAGTGATGTAGGTTTCGTTGTTTAATGCTAATAGATTTATCAAAGTGATTTTTACTAGTATTCCTTTGGGTTCCAATCGGAGCATAGGGTTTCAGGAAGACACTTCCACTTCATCCTGTTTTCTGCGTCCCTCTTTATCTAGCGTCACGATTGTTGATAAGCTCTTATCTCCTCCATATCACCCGCGGACGGTCAACTTGTCGTTTCCCATTCCAGTTCCACCCGAGGGCCTGACGTATGATATCACTCAAAGGTCTGCTTAACGTGTATCCGATCCATTTCTATTTGCTTCGGGATGTTTAATGGGTGATAGGTTGGTTCTATGCCTGTCGAATTTCCTTTCTGGTTAACCATCTGTTCTTCACTATGTAGCTAGGACAGTTTTTGATGAAAATCTGCAGCAATCTGTTGGAAAGGATTTCCGTGACGCGATTGGTTTCATATAGAATCACACTGACTTTACATGAATGGTTAAAATCCGGATCTTGTTCCTTATGCTGAATGCAGCAGATTTCCGCGCTGATTTCAGATTGGTGAAGGCCTTTATTCCCTATCCAGTCCTGTCTGACATATTCGTCTGTGCCATCTGTAATTGAAGTGAGGTTACCTAGTTAAGTGAAAGAGGTGACCGTCTTCAAATTTCTCCCATTAATAGTGACTGCTACTTGTTTTTTAGTTAAGCATCTTTGTCACCACCATCTTCTCCATGTTCGCTTGAAGTCCTGTATTCTTTGCTTCTTGTGACTACTTCTTGGTTTTCACTTATAGTGGGTGTATAGATCAAATATTCACTCTTGGACAGATTCTGTAACATAGGCATACTTACTGGCGTCCAGAAATTGTCATATCTTTTGACCTAAAGACGGTATTCCACTTGGTCGACGGAGATATACTACGAAAATGTTCGGTTGTGGAGGGAATACCGAGAAAATGCATCGCGCTGATCACGGCACTCTACTCGAACTCATGCAGCCAGCCAGGTGTGAGCCTACAGAGAGTTGTCATCTGAAGTGGTGACGACAAGTGGTGTCCGTCAGGGATACCAATGAACTTAACCGTAACTGACTTCAGTGACTTGTTATCAGGGGGTAATCTCGTTGACTTAGAATATGCAGACGATATATTCCTTCTGGGTGAAGACGCTGACAAAATGCAGTCTTCTGAATACTTTGAGCAGCAATCTTCGACTGTTTGGCATGCGATTCTCTCCCGTCAAATGAAAGATGATTCTACGGGATTGAACTATATCGACTTCTAGCTTACAGATAGGGAGTGTTTTGGTGGGGCGTGTTGACCACTTCATTTATGTGGGAAGTTCTATCAGCCCGACCGGTTCGGTTGCTGACGAAATCCCAACACAGATACAGACGGCTCGTGTGGTGTATCCGGCTCTCGATCGAAAGACATGTGTACTGATCAGTAGTTCACGCCATCCTCCTTTTTGGGTGTGAGACATGACCACTGAAAGTGGAAGACATGAAAATGCTGGCTAGCTGTCTTTGATCATAGGTGTCTGTATTCTATTTCTCGTGTTAGTTGGTACAATGGGATGAGTAATACTGAGGGTAGGTGTCGAGTGTTAGGCAAAGAGTAGAAATCAATCGATGTGGTTGCGAAGCTCCGTCGATTGGGATGACTTGGGTATGTGTTACGCATGCCTAGCCATCGCTTTCCTCGACGGGCAATGTTAACTGAGATAGGATTAGGTTGAGAAATAGCTACAATCAGGAATATCATCGGTGATAATATGCAGCCTCGTTTTAGTCTTATCTTCACTTCAAAAGTGTCGCTGTGTTTTCCGTTGTGATTCACTTGACATGTGACATTACCATACATATGTTGAATGAGGATGCATTTCTTCACGAACATACATTATTTACAAAGCCTGCTTCATTGTTTTCCATGAAGTATTTTGGTTTCTAATTTTAGTTGCATGTAGTCGAGTACGTGACTTGAAAGTCCCTCGTTGAGATTTTCTAGTAGAAATACATCACTTGCATCCTTCTAGAGTTGAAATGTTATATTTTTGCGTATTTTGGTGATAAGACCCTATCATCAAACTAGTTTGATTGTAATACAGACAGTTTCACGGGGAAGTATTCGGCTTTGTCAGTGGATATGGTCAAGTTGACAAACTTCTATATTAGTGTCGTTAGCTTTAAAATGGAATCCACATACATTTGGATAGTTGAAAATCTTGAGGATCAAATTTTCTCTCTATGCAATACAATAACTTATAGTTTTTACTGATCGTAAATGCAACTGTGGTATTTTTTTATGATTTGGTGTATCGATGTTTTAACCTATAATTAAACAAAGAGACTATTTTATTCTTATCCCTGAATTACTTAGCTGTTTGTGTCGAAGAGGATACCTCAAATGAAAAAGTGGAAAAACATATACAACTTGCTAAATTGCAAAGTTTCTCTGGCTCATGGAATTTCAATACTTCTCTGTGTGAATGCTTTGGAGTGCCTATGGATGACCTTTCAACTTGTCTAAAAGAACCAGGTATTTAAATTATTTTCAAGTATTTGTTTGTAGAGATTTGATTGATTGGTTACAGGATTTCATCATGAGGTGACATTGGTTAAAGAACCATTAGAAAACGTGCAGGGAGTGCTGAACAGCTGCTTAGTCCTAGTTTGAGACTCTTCAGTAGTACGCACCCACCGCCAGGCTTCGAACCCTGGGCCTTCTGGTTACAGGGCTAGCTCGTAGACCTTTAAGCCACTGGGACCTGATCCAACGGTCCATGAATCCCGAATTCCGTGAATTCACAACATAGATTGACCACTAGCCAATGTCTTCGGCTAGTATTTGTCCTCACACTCGGCCTGCTGCACCCTACTGGTCACGACTTCCCACTAGAACCCAAGTAACTAACCTACCTGAATAGAGCCAGTCGCCAGTAAGCATCTCATCGATATTCAAGTATCGGTTTGTAGGGATTTGATTGACTGGTTAAGGAGATTTCATCATGAACTACCATCAGTTATTTTGTAAACATAAGGCTTTTTTAAAATTTCATCTGATCTACAATATAGTCTTAACAGTAACCTCAATATTGTGCTCAATACTGTTTTTTACAGGAATTTATTAATACTCATAATACAAGTGATTTGTTTGCTGTAATATTTCCTATCCACAGATTAACCACTGCTGTATGCGTCTTATCCATTCAAATAAACTAACTATTCATCATATTTTCAAGTACTGGTTTTGTAGGGATTTTGTTTCATTGCATGGAGGATTTAATCATGAGCTGACATCAGTTAGAGAATTACTGGAAAACCTTAGAGTACTGAACAGCTGTTTCGTCCTAGTTTGAGACTCTTCATCAGTACGCACCCACGGGATTCGAACCCAGGACTTTCTGGTTACAAGGCGAGCTCGTAGACCATTGAGCCACTGGGACTCGATCCAATGGTCCTTGAATTCTAATTTCTGCCAGTTCACGATATAGCGCGACCACTTCGCAATGTCTTCTTCGATGAGTTACTGCCTCATCTTCAACCCTATTCATCATATAATTCTTCTAGGTGGAATAGATGTTTATCACTTTAACAAGCAGTGATATAACGAAAACGTTGTGTTTAATTTACAACTCATTATTGTGAAATTCATTTTTTCTCACAACATATGGGTTAATGTCACAGATAGTTGGAGTAGTCTTTTGTAAAGCAGACAGACATATGTAACTACAGATTTTATCATCTCATCTGAAACGACTACATATATATATATATATATATATATATATATATATTCGTGATCATTAACCTTTTTCTCAGAAGTTGATGATCATTACAGTTAAGAGAGAGGATTAGATTTTTTTTAATGTTTTTGCCTTACCTTGATTTATAATGGAGAATCGATTGGCAGCTAAACTATCCATTTAAGTGACATGTGCACTTTTGAACACTCTAATGACATGTGAACCTGTCATACAAAAGGTCAACAATAAATTCAATGGAGGTTAACATCAGAGATATAAGTAACAGATTATAATCGTAACAATAACCCTTAGCTTCAAAACTGAATTACCAAGTTGAGGTTCAGTATAGTAAAGAACAGTAATGATGAATATGTGAAAAACCTGTGTTGTTCCTTGACGTTGATCTTTTTTTACAAATGTCCTATAGTTGCATATATACGACATTTGCAGATGTCTTTATATATATAATATGTTGAAAAATCTAGTTAGTAGAAAACCTTTTTTAATAAAGATACTGAATGATATCCTAGTGATCTGTAACACTGATAGTTGCTATAGTAACCCTTAATTGGATGAACACAATACGAAATATCCTTAATATTTGTGAAACAGTATAATGGCTGCCTACCACTGTTAGATGTAATCATAATTCGCTGACATGACATGTCATTATGACTGTATGTTTTCAAGGTTGTGACATTACCAAAATTACTGTAGTTTATGGCTATCCTGATATAAAAGGCCATTGGTTCGGATATTTGCTCCCACGTATTCAACCCATATAAACTGAGGTTACTTTTGAAGAAGGATTTTTTTCCTTCACAGTATTTTTGGTACAAGTATGGAATTTTCAGCATGTGATATCGGTAACCCAAATTTTGCAGGCCGACCATAGATATCAGGTGTGCGTCGGCAGGAGGTCGAACCCCGGACCATGTCCATGGTTGGCGAAGGTCCTAACCACTGTGCTACCGATGCAGCAGAACTTACATTTTTATAGGAGACAAGACTTATGTTGTCCTGTAAACTGTTACAACATTTGAACGATAGCGTCACATCTCATTACTTTTTTCGAATTTACTTATGCGCCTGGTTACAAATACATACGGAGAATCTGTTGGTTTCAGGAACTCATTCTCAAGTAACTACTAAGGCAAATTGAATCATTTTACCTAAATGAACTTGTAAATATATGCCTACCATCAATCTTTCTCGGGCAAAATTAAAAAGACTGAAAATTTGAAGTTGTTTTCAACATTTCTTTTAAACGTCTTCTTGTTGTTCTGTCGAGATTCATGAAGGGAACTAATTGCTTTAGATATTCGGTTAGCAGCTTTACACCATACGATAGCATGCTCTTCTCATTCACTTGAGAACTCTTACTCGACGAGCTCCGGGTTCAAGTCTATTCCAGCTAACTGAGTTCTGACTAACTAACTCTCATTTTGGTGTATTAAACTTTATTTCCTAAAAAGGGGTGTGTACAAGTAAAATCTACGCCAGTATAAATCGTTTGCTGTTTGTCTCAGTGTTTGTTATTATGACTTATCATTGCTATAGTCGTCATTATTATGACTTTATCCATAAAGTCGATTCACTTTTTGTTTTAGGCAAATCTCCATTTTTGACAGAAACCACATGGGCAACTGCTCTGGCCATAGCATATTTGGAGTCATATATCCCAGAGAAAAAGGATGAATGGTGTCTATTAGTTGAGAAGGCGAAAAATTGGCTATTAACACAAGCAGAGAGTCATAAAATTCCATCAAAGAAACCCAGCGAACTATGTGATGAGCTTATTGTGAAGGCGAAAGATGCACTAACCAAATTATTGAAAAAAGCTACCTCCAGTTAGTTTCTCTGACAAGGAGCTTCATTTGCCTGCTTACTTGATTTCTCTCTCAATACTCTTTTTTTTCTAAATATTTGAAATCATGTATTTTATTTTGAAATATCTGACTTCTGAGTATTGTTTTTTTTTTATATTTTTACTCTGCTTTGTGAGGATTTTATTCTTTAACAAAATGATATATATTATACATGCGACATACTTTGATTTTTATTCGTAACGCAATTGCTCATTTTATAATAAATATTTTGAGTACATACTGGGTTTTGTTCAACTTTTCATAGATTAACTTGATACGTCTGTCACGTCCACGTTTGTATTACTGTGAAACTTCATCTTCATCGTTGGGATGCAACTAAATTGTGTGGCTGAACAGGGCTGACTTGATTTACTGTTGTTGTTTTTTTTTTAACTATCTGGTGTCAGTGTAACAAAGTGATGTGCCTTATTCACAAGTTTTGTAGAAAATTTAAAAATCAGAATTCAGATAAATTAGAAAAGCAATCCTTGTTTGCAAAAGAAGAAAAACAAAATGCGACCGTTGAATTGCTTTACTATTTGTCACTCACTTCGGATGCTAAGCTGCTGAGCTTGACTTGTAAGACTGCTAAATTTAGCTTTAATTGTCTGTCACATACTTACTTAGATTAGTTTGACGCTCTCTGTGTTTTGAGCTATTCTCCTCGTCCAGTTTACTTTTCGACTCCTAGACCTGGAAAAGAGGTTAAGTTGATTGTGGGACTAGCCACCCAACGCTGTTAACAACAACCCCATTTTTATTGTAACATTAAAGTTCAGGAAAAATGAACCTTGGATAGATTAGGTATCAATACGAAGTTGTAGTTGTATTTCTTGTGATTGTGAATTATGATTTCGGTTTAGTTGTAGGTATAGAAAGGAGTTCATGATTTTATTTCAAAAGCAACATATTTTCTAACGCCATCAATACAACTTCTAATTATTGATTAAGAGTAGTAAACTTTTCTCGAATCCTTATGCATTGGTTAATGCTACATCATTGTGTGGTATACCAAACAATCTTATATAATAATATCTGATTTACAACCACTCGATTTAACAGTTTCACTGAGAATTGCATTGATAGAGAAAAGTTTATTTCACATGAAATACGTGAATGGCATCATATTGATCTGTAACATCGATGAATGCCACAGAAACTTTTAATCGAACGAAGACAAAGTAGTGTATCGTTAATATGTACAAAGCAATAACTATTTGGCATTTTCAGTTGTAACTATAATTCACCTACACGACCGGTTTTGATATAATCCAGCGCTTACTTTGATATGACTTGTGGCTGCGCTAACGAATTTCTTATCTAATCAATTCGCTAGCCTAGTGTTTTAACCACTATTAGCAATAACACGATACCACCGAAAACACGACGCAAGAGGAGAAGTCTGACTGTTGGCGTGGGCAGCTTTTACTGTCTCAAATCATCAGTGAAAATGATTGACAGAGCATGTGTTTATATATATGCCTTCCTAGATTACACATCTGCTTTCGACTTAGTACCTAGGGACATTTTGTTAAAGTTAAACAAGCTTGCTGAAACTCAAACTGATTGTTGGGTTGTCAAATGGCTGCATTCTTATTTCTGAGGAAGAAAGCAGTATACTGTATGTCAGGGAAAGTCGTCCATTTCTTTGTTTACTGAGGCTGGTGTCCCTCAAGGCGCTGTCCTTTCTCCTTTTCTGTTTTCTTTCTTCTTGCATGATTTCCTCAATCTGATGAAATGAACTTTGTTAAGTATGCCGATGATCTAACTACTTCAACGTCTGTTAACTCCCAGCTTGACTGTGCTAAGATGATTAGCTTTCTACCAGGAATTAGCAAATGGTCTTCGTGTAACGGCCTTAAACTAAATCCTTCCAAATGTCAGACTGTTAATTTAAGTTTCCGATGCAAACGAAAGTTAAATGAAGCCACTGGTTCACATAACCCTTGCAAAATTGATGATACTGATATAGAAATCAAGTCTGAAGTTAAGTATCTTGGATTAATTGTTTCTTCCGACCTATCCTGGTCTTCCCATGTCTTAGCGATTTCTAAAAGAATATTTCGTCTGACTTTACATTAAAAAGTTGAGGCACTCAGTCAGAACCCAACCACTCCTCTTACAATTTTTCAACTCGTGTGTTTTACCTATTCTTCTTTACTGTTCATCCTTATTCTTTCCTGGATTGCTTAAAAAAGACAATGTCATACTTCGTAGAACTCTGGAGACTGTCAGTAGGATGAGTGGTATTCCATTGGGCCATATCATTGACAATGTGATTGATAGGCACTTGATGCCATGTAACAAATTTGCTAAAGGAATTTTGTCAGACTCTGAGCACCCACTCTACCCGCAGCTCCAACCTTGTGTCTCTTTAGGTAAAACAAGAAGTCTTTTCAGAAGAATTTATGCACGTACATCTAAGTATAAAAATTCCACTATACCATATTAGGCACGTACATTATGTGATGAAAATGGTGTCAGGCATGAACTAACCAACTTTTTTCGCACTACTAAATAAACCATTTCTTCCACCCTTACAGTACCAAACTTTATTGTTATTGTATTTCTTATATTTATAATCCTCTCAATTTTTTTGTTTTTATCTATTTATTTTTCATAAGTGTGAACATCGTTTAAGCTGTGTTACCACTGTTAATCTTGTATTTTTCCCCTCTCTATACTACATCAACAGAACATCAGATTCACTACTCTATAGTAACATGCTAAAATTTTCAAACTGAATCGACAATACTGTTTGAAACAAACTCACCGTAATTTTTATTATTAATATTATTATTATATTTAATTATCTCAATTCGTGCTTAGAATATTTTTGACTTTATATCGTAAACGTGGACAAATTCCTCAGGTTAATTTTGTTTTAATTTTATCTATATTTTAAGTAAATCAGATGCAATATTGTGAAAAATGCTGAGAATTCCATTCTGTATTATAAGTACCGTTTTTAGAATAAAGTAAATTATTACTATTTAAAATGACCTTGAGAGACACTGATAACATTGATGAATTTAAACGGTTAACAACCAATAGGATTTCAAAAGTCATAAATAGGATGAGAGAAATATCAACAGATATGTAGGAAATTAGGTCTATATATCAGGTTTATGAGACTCACTGACTACAAGACGAGGAGTATCTAAATTAACACAGTTTATGTTCACTGCAGTATGTAAGGGCGTTTGTTAAATGGTTGCGCAGATATACTGAAAATACTGTTGAAGAAGTTACACAAAACCTCAATTAGAAAAAAATAGTTATCCCTACGGAGTGCACTGCTCAAACATTTATAAACCCAGTTATAGAATGAAGCCACATGCCAATAAATCCACAACGGAAAGCTCACCATAGTGTCTGAAGGGATGACAAGAGTCAGACAAAGCTATTCACTGACACCGATAGTATTCCTGAATGCAATGAGTTGGTTTTTATAATTGGTTTAGTAGGTTTGGTGATTAAATAGGAGATATAAATATTTTTCTGAGCAGTTTCTAGATTTCTTTTCACATTTTCAACTTATCAAGATTTTAATAGTTTCATGCACATATTATAAATGATGTGCAGCAAAATTACTATTTGCTTCCAAATTTTGACTCATATAGTTATAAATTCAAGTGAGCATCATTATTTACCTAATCTGTTTCTGAAATTAAAACTGCTTTCAGAAAATGGGTAACTGAACAATGCACATCAGAGTATGAGACGTTATATCATCTCCAAAATTAAAAGTTATATGAATACTTACAAATAAAAGTTGTAGACCGATAGTTATCTTTGAAAGAAAATGAGCCTACATCTGACGTATTTCTTAAGAATTATTTTATTTTAAGGAAGTACCTAGAAATTGTGCATTTCATTGAATACAAATGACGGTTGAGTGTGCACGGTATTTTTACATCAGTGATTGGTTCTTCACTTCATTCAATCCACCTACTTCGAAAATATAATATATCCAGACCGATATTATGATAAATCTAATTCACAATTTATGAATTAGCTCCCGATTTTCACAGTTCGAGGTTATTATTTCATGACAGTTTCCTTTGGAAACTGAAATTATTGAGATCATCCGGAGTAAACAAGAAACCAAGCACAAATTCGTCACGCTATATACTACTGATTGACTGGGATTAGTAGTTGGCTATCACTCACATTGACCAGTAGTGCTTGCTAGCCAGAACAAAGTGATCTAAACACCAGGTCCCCGTTTCACTCGTTTAGGGACAAACTCATCAGCGGTGTACTCGGTCTGACTCATCTCAGAGAGCCGAATTTGTTCAAATCCCAGTTCACTCATATTTTTGTGTTTTTCAGTAGACTAATGCATTGCCTTATACCATCAGCTCAGAAAATATCAGTAGTATGTTATACCATTATTTTATTTAGAACTGGAATAATGCAAACGTTGTTTTAACCTATTTTACAGTATACTTTAAATCTTAAATTATTGCGTACGCTTTACCATTAATTTCACTAATTATTTGATTTCTAAGAGGGACATTCTAGAAACTACATCAGCTGTATATATCATTAGGTCACATTTTACCCACGTGACTGGGCATATACTCGGTTAGATATTTAGTGTATTTCTCTATGTTAGAGGTATCATATTCACGAAGCAGTGAAAAATTAGCGAAACGAAGCAAAGATATTTGATGCTGTTAGTTGGTGCATTTTGAAATTGCGTTTAGTTTCCAGGTGAAAATGTGATCAGATCTTTAGAAACTACGTGATTTATATTGACACTACAAAAATGAGTGACCGTCATCGAGATATTTCGATAAAAATTTCTTTTGACAGACTAGTCATAATGTAATAAGATGATACTCATAGCCGGAAGGAAAATTTTGTCTGCAATAGAATAGAGACTACCTATTTGTGCATTATCTCCCTAGAAAACAGACTTTCGCCACTCAGTGTAAATTGCTGGTCAGTGGTTGCAAATGTTGTCATAAAACTGGCTAACTTGAAAGCATGTTCCCATCACAGTTTAAATCGAAATAATGTGGAAAGTAGTGGCAACTGAGTGGGTGTGGACAATTATAACGCCGAAACAGTCAAGAACCTGTTACCTGGCAAAATATACAGAAGGAAATAGAAATGGATTCGACCTCTGACGTGGAGAGATTCAAGTGAAATCGCACGCCAAGCATGCCCTTGAGTAAAACCGGGATGGAAACTGATAAGTTAGGCGTCTGAGGGTGATACGGTGGAGAC